GGATCTTGGGGGATTGGGAGGATGGTGGTGCTTTTTATTTTTCTTTTCTTTCTTTCTTTCTCTCTCTCTCTCTCTCTCTCTCTCTCTCTCTCTCTCTCTCTCTCTCTCTCTCTCTCTCTCTCTCTCTCTCTCCCCTTCTCTCCCTCTCTTTATTTGTCTATCTATCTATGGCTAGGCAATGGGGTTAAGTGACTCTCCAGGGTCACACAGCTAGGAAGTGTTATGTGTCTGAGGTTGGATTTGAACTCAGGTCCTCCTGAATCCAGGGCCAGTGCTCTATCCACTGTGCCACCTAGCTGACCCCCAGGATAGCAGTGCTTTTAACAGAAATAGGGAAATTTGGAAAAGGGGAGGATTGAGGAGAAAGATGATGTGTTCAGTTTTGGACTATTGGAATGTATTGGAAGAGGTGGTGAAAGTTGTACCGGTTGGAAAAATTAGGAGAGGCAGGTGAAAGATTTATTTAACCTTGTGTGCCAAGTTACCTTATTAAATTTCTTTTGCTCATTCTTCAAATACTAATATGATGACACTGATAACAAAAGCAGATTAGTGACAAATCAGCTCCTCCTAAGTGTGATAAATGGGAGTAATAAATCAGTTTCTTTAAATCGTCCTTTAATTCCTCGGACAAGCTATTCTTCTAGCATAGCCAATATGTAAAGGTTCTTAAATGTCTTGTGTTTTCCAGGAAATAATGCTGGTGTATTGCAGGGAGTTTAGAAAGATGCCTCATTCTATGGGAGGGTTATAGAGAGGGAAGGATGGTTAATAGTGGAATTGAATTGAATCGGAACTATTTCTGTTTCCTTTCCAGCTTCCATTTTACAGCAATTGAAAATTGTTCATTGGCTTGATCTGTTACAGATTACAGTCTCCCCTCATTGTACAGATGATTTTTATGAGGGGCTGTGGCCACTGAGTTCACCACCTTGTGTCCAACCCTTTGTGAATACCGCATGTCCAACCTCAGCCTGAGCTGAGCGAGGTTGGTTTTTAGTGAGCCATGGGCTGCTGGCTGACTTCTGGAAGTGTTCTGGCTAGGCTAGACCTACCAGAGGTTATACTTTATACTAGCATAGCTTCTGGAAACCCTGGGACTCTGCGTCATCACGATGAAACATTGGCGATCAACTTGAATGTAAAAACACAGTATATTATTAAGACAAATGTTCCTTGGTTACTGGAGCGGGCATCCAACTTTTTGCTGAGCCCCCAGGAGAAAGCAAAGCACTAGCTCAGTTGCTAATACCTTTCATTTCTAGAATATGAGAAAATCTTGATTCAGACAGTTAAGCTGCTTTCTTCATCTTATCTACCTGAGACTGGAGAGCAATGAACCAGTCAGTGGAAAACTTGGGCTGAGGGGAATCTACAACTGAATCAGGTTATTTAAAGTGAAATCAACTTTACTGGATTGTTTGTGGTTGATAGAGAAATGTCTGTATGTGATGTACACACTCCTTTGAGTTGGAGATGACTTAGCAAGTCAGAAGGAATGGTAGTTTCTTTTCTAGACTTTAGTAGTAGTGTTAATAATGAAATTTGTCATTGAATTTATGATTAGGAAAGTGATTTCCCCCAAGGTTACCCATCCAATTTTTCTCTAATGGTGGCTACAAATGTATATCCAGTTGTCAGTAATGTATATGATATTCATTCAATGACTTATTGTAGAAGACAGCACAGCATAGTAGAAGGGGCATCAAGAGAACTAGGTTAGCATCTCTGCTGCTTGGGAGATCTCTTGCTCTGGACAAAGGGTTTGATGTCTCTTGGAACTCATTTTAGTACTGCTTACACTATCCATTTCTAGGGCTTATTTGGGAGAATAGAGTCCTTTTTAAATGTTAAATGTGAGTCATTGTGGTAATGTTGATTGCTATAGTAGTGATTTGGCTATAGGGGCCACAACACTCACAAGACTTAAAATATCTAATGATGATTTCCTTTGTGCTCATTTAGTTTTGATTATATAGAAAATGTTACATAAAGGAAACTTGTCTCCCAGCCTTCCTTCAGCATAAATTATATGTGGCTGTCAAATAGTAGGAATAACTGACTTTATAATATTTATGAAGTTCAAACTGACAATGTTTCACTTTCATGCTACTCATTCAAATCCAGTGAATAATACTTTTATTTCAGCCTATGATGCATTTCTGTTAATATACAATTTTTTTTATCACCAATGTTTTTTCAAATGTACAATAGAAGATAGAACTCTCTTCAACTAGGCTTTAACCTACCTACCATAAATTTCTTTTTACTAAATAATTATGATTTGGGGAAATAAAACTTTAATTTTCAGCATAATTACCTATTGCATGATCTTTTGCATGCCTATCATTTTATTACGTCATATATTTATGAAGTGCAAATTAGCAGTGTTTAATTTTTCGTGCTACTCATTCAAATCCGAGTATTGCTTTTATTTCAGCTTCATGTGACATTTCTGCTATCATGCAATTTGCCGGTCACTCAGTAACATTTAGTAAGTACCTACTATGTGCCAGGAACTGTGCTAAGCACTGGTAATGCAAAGAAAGGCAAAAGACAGTCCCTGCTTTTTGAGGAGCTCACATTTTATGGCAGGAGACAACATGCAAGGCTGTATACAAACAAGATATATACGGGATAAGTTGGACATAATCAACAGAGGGAAAACACTAGAATTAAAGGAGATCAGAAAAGGATTCCTGTAGAAGATGTGATTTTAGCTGGAACTTGAAGGAAGCCAGAAGAGGAGAGAGAATTTTACAGAGTAGGGACAGGAATTGAAAATGTCCAGAGTCTAAAGATGGAGCGTTGAGGTAAATGAGGAGGTTTGAGAAACAGCAAGGAAGCCAGTATCACTATATAAAAGAGTAGGTGGTGGGGTGTAAAGTCTAAGAAGATTGGAAAGATGTGTGTGGGAGGAAGGTTATAGAGGGATTTGAATACCTGAGGATTTTATAGTTGATCCTGAAGGGTGCCACTGGAGTTGATTTAGTAGGAGGATGACATGGTTAGACCTACACTTTAGGAAGATCATATTGGCAGCTGAGTGGAAGATGAATGGAGTGAAGAGAGGCTTAAAGTATTACAGCTACAGGCAGACTATTCTAATAGTCCAAATGTAAGGTAATGAAGGCTTGCACCAGCCAATGTTAGAGGAGAGAAGGAGGTATATGTGAGACATGATACGGAGGTAAAAGTCAACAGATTGGATACAGGGAGTAAGAGTGAGTGGTCGAGGAAGATGTTCATGGAGGACTGAGAAGATGCTGGTGCCTTAGACAGAACAGAGAGGTTTGAAAGGGCAGAGAGTTTGGAAGAAAGATAATGAGTTCAGTCTTGGACATGTGGAATTTCAGATGTGTATAGTACATTAAGATGTCTTTTAGGCAATTGGAGGTGAGAGCCTAGAGATCAGCATAGAGCTTAGGTATAGATAAGTAGATTTGAGAGTCACTAATATAGGGATGATCCCTGGGAGCTGTGAAGTCATCAGGTGAAATAGTATAGAGAGAAGAAGGCCAAGATATAACCCTCATATAACTGAAACAACTTCACATAATAACAACAACCACCACCAAATAGCAAAGCGCATATGTTATCACTAGTACCTCCAAGCTGGGTCTCTGCCCTATAGCCCAGACAGAGTAAGTCAAGGATTTTTTTCCCCTTTCTCATCGAGTTCCCTGACTATAAACCAGCTCCCTAGGGTGATTAATATCTGATATGAAACCTAGAATTCAAACTCAGCATGGCAATTCATTGATGTAGAGTAGGAATTATTTCAGCTTTCTGGAGAAAGTATAAAAATTTACCACTGGACTTAATAGTTCATCATATGCTTCAAAAAGAATCATGAGGCTGTTTAAACAAGACTATTTTAAATGTTTCTCACATGTTTAAAGCAGTATATTTGGATATCATGAGCCTATATGTAGGTTTGTATGTGGAGCTATGTACATACTGGCATTAGAGCTTACTGGTAGCATATGGATACTACAACTTGGGGCCTATTGTAAGATGATGTTTTTAAAATGATATAAGATGATTTTAGTTCATAGCCGTAGCATTATGGCTTGAGAGTGATCAATAATTTAAACTCCTATTTGGAGATTTCAGTAGACAAGTCAAGTGCCCAGCAGGCAAATAATCGCCTCAGGTGACTCCTCAAGACCCAACCTTGCTCTCCACCCACCAAAACCTCCTCTACCACACTTTCTTAATGTAGTTTGAATGATGTTTGGGGTTGCCAGGTGCAGTACAATGAGAGGGTGGAGCACTGCAAGACAAAACATAGCATGAGGAGGGGAAATAGAGCACAAAAAGGGACTCGGGAAGGTGGAAACTTGTGGGATTCACTGAGATGCCCAGTAAAAGCAGGTGCCAAAATATTTGAATCCCTCATGCTTTTTATAGGGTTAAGTCAAGCAGGACTAGACACTGGGGAGAGGGACAGGGGCACCCCACCTGGTTGTGTAGGTCACTGTTCCGGGATTTGTGCAGATTCATGCTAGGAGAGCAGCTTCATTGGTAATCCAGCTCCCTGCCAGCTTTCTGCCTTTTGAGCTGTCCTTCCTTTGGCCACGTGGGATTTAGGCTTCAGCAGGGAGGCTCCTTAGTAAAGTCTCCTGTACACTGTTGCCTGACTTGTGGTTTTTGGATGCTCATCCCTTAGTCATTTCTGTTTTACCTCCTTAGGACTTTTTTACTTGCCCAGCACAAGACTTGTGATCATATCTGTGAATAAAGATTTAGAAAGCAGTGTTATAATTTACATCTTTAGCTTTGCCTTTTGAATATTTCCAGAAGTCTTTCTTTAGCTCAGTCAGTTTTACCCCATTGCAGATGAGTCTTTCTGAAAAAGAGTGAGAATGAGAGTGGTTTTATCTGCTTTAGCAATCTTCCTCCCAATTTTTTTTTGAAATGCAGCATGAAGTATGTTAAATGGTGACTCATAATATTTAAGAAAGAACTTAGCTTTCTTTTTTTTTTCCTACCCACAGAAACGTTCCAGAGGCCAAGTGCTATTCGACAAAGTGTGTGAACATCTGAACCTGTTAGAAAAAGACTACTTTGGTTTAACATACCGGGACACTGAAAACCAAAAGGTGAAATAATCCGTTAGCGTTATCTTGTATTAAGAGCAAGGAAAATATCTTGGGACTAATCTACCTTTTCATTGAATAAACTAAACTAACCAATTATTTTACATATTTTATGGGTTACATTCCCTTTTTCTTTCTATCTTTTGAATCCCTAGGACTTCTAATTTCATCCACCTTTCACCTACACTTAACTCCTACCCTATCTTACCAGAAGTCACTTAATTACTTTACTTTGTTGTGAAAACCCCTGGGCTCTGGATCCAGTTTTGACAGTACTGATCTGTGAGACTTGGAGCAAGTCATCAACCTTCCTGAATTTAAGTTCCCTGATCTGTAAAATGAGTGAGTTAAAGTAAATTAAAAGCAGCTAGGTAGTATAGTGGGTAGCGTGCAGGTACTGGAGTGAGGAAGACTCATATTCCTGAGTTCAGACATTTACTAGCCATGTGACCCAGGGCAAGTCACTTAACCCTATTTGCCTCAGTTACCTCATCTGTAAAATGAACTGGAGAAGGAAATGGAAAACCATTCCCATAGCTTTGCCAAGGAAACCCCAAAATGGGGTCATGATATACATAACTAAAACAACTGAACAACAACATTTACATCTGTCAGTTAACAAGAGCTTGTGATGTACCAGACATTGTGCTAAGTTGCTGGGGCTACCAAGGAAGGCCAAACAGTCTCTGCCTCAAGGAGTTTACATTCTAATGGGGAAGACAACATGGAAATAAATAGGAACATACAAGATACACAGAGCAGATGGAATATAACCTCTGAGAGGAAGATTTTAACAGCTAAGAAACCTGGCAGAGTCACTAATGTAGAGGTGCTTTTCTGCAAAGAAGAGAGGAATGGACCAAGCATCAATTATGTGCTAAATTAGATGTATCTAATTTCATCAAGCTATTTGTTTGATCATATTGACCCTCCTGTAATAGCTTTCCTATATCTGTGCTAGATTGACCCCTTAAAACCAATGATAGTAAACTAATTTCTTGAAAAGTGCATTAAAAATGAACTGCCTGCAGTTCTGTCCACAATCAGAGACTGAGAAGAGTGTCCAGAAAAATATAATGCCTGAAAGGAGGCGAAGGAGCATCCAGTTGGAGTTAATGGTGTGAGGGACTTGGATAGTGCCAGCTGCAGTAAGGAATCACCCTGGGCATGATTAGTAAGTGTGTGTGTGCTTAATGAACCCCAAGTTACTTTTAACCTTTTGATTTAATTCCAAAATGTGACTTCTTTTTCAGAACTGGCTAGATCCTGCTAAGGAAATAAAAAAACAGATCCGAAGTAAGTGTTACTGAATTCTTTTTTGGACTGTTGGAAAGAATGTGGGGAGAACTCATACAGAAATGAAGTGTTGAGCTGGTGACTGATGGCTGTGCAGAAAATACTATAAACAGTATTATATAAGAGAGGTTAAAACCACAGGTCCCTCATTATAGCTCCTATTTTTACTATTTGCAATGAATCTAGTGGTGAACAGCACATTGTATGTACCTAGGTGCTTAATAAGCCTTATTTATTTAATTGAACTTCTATCATTCTATTAACAATGACTGTTCTTTTTATTTTCAGAAGCTGTTATGATTAAAGAGAAGCTTTTTTAAAAAATATTTAAATCTAGGAAGATTTTGTTTTCAGAAAATTATTTTAGTGAATGAAAATATAAATGTAATAAATATATTTATGTCCACATACTTCTCCACTGATATTAATAACAACTAGCATGTATATAGTATTTTAAGATTTGTAAAATACTTTGCATGTTATCTTATTTGAGAGAGTATTACACTATTGGGATTGATGCTCTATCCCAGAGATTCTTTACTTGGGGTCTGTGAGCTGCTTTTCTTTGAAATCCTATATATTATACTTTATGCATTTATAAACATTATTATACACAGATCAAAGCATATTATTTTCACTTTATCTTTTTCATGGTTTTTTCCCCCCTTTTTGTTCTGTTTCTTTCACAACATGACTAATATGAATACATGTTTTACGTGATTGCACATATATAGCCTGTATCAAATTACTTACCATCTTAAGCAAGGGGGAGGCAAGGAAGTAAGGAAGAAAATTTGAACTCAAAATTTTATATAAAAAAATTATTTATACATGTAATTGGAAAAAAATAAAATGCTTCCTACTGGGGAGAAAACCACATCATTATTCTGAGGAGCCCGTTGGCTTCTTCAGACTGCCAAAGGGATCAATGACACAAAATAGTTTACAAACCCCTGCTCTATACTTAATCAGTCATATAGTTCATGTAGTTTTTAGTTGGCCATTAACAAATCAAAAGTAGCTAACTTATAGTCTTGTAAAAGAAATCCTGCTATAAGAATATAGAAAGCAAGCAAATGGAAATTATCATTTCACACTAGAAATGTAATTATATGTCACCATAATTTTTTGTTGTTGTTGTTGGTTAGCTGGTCTGCACTTTCATTGGTCCTTGAAAAGCCATTAAAGGAGTTGCTTTATCATTATTCACTGAATCCAGCCTGTCTTTCTTGGAGTCCAGTAAATGAATTCATTTTGATTATAAGTCCCACATTTCCTCTTTTCAACAATTACCATGAGTAGGAGGAACAAATAACTTCTTCCAGTTGCCTATGGAATAAATTACTTTGAGATAAAAATGCCCAAAGTACCACAAAGAGATAAGATAAGTCAATGGGCATCTGATAGGTAATTGTACTTAAAACTCCACTGTAGCAAAACCGTGGAGGTTTCTTCAGGAAAAAAGAAAACAACAAAACACAACATCCCAAAGCCTAATCTCTTGGTATTGACAGTCCTGATGATAATTTATACAATCAAGCTTCCTTTAACACACACTTTAAATTTTATTTAATGTGTTTCCCTAACCAGCAGCTTGTCAGAGAAGTAGTGTGACCGTAACAGATTAACTCATATTAAAGCCAGAGATGACTGCCGTTGTGATAAATAGTTGAAAATACAATTATTTTTGCTTTGGAGAGTTTTTAAAAAATTTAGATGCTGAAATTTTCTCAAGAGCTTTCTCTGTAGTCATAGGAAACCACATGTAGTCACATAATTAATGCATAGTAATTAGTACTCTTCTAATAATTGCAAAGTACTTTAAAAATGTAACACTACAAATAAGATACTATGATACTATTAGCAAAAAGCCTGCTTGAATAGTTTAATTTGGTTACAACTTGTTGCTAGAGTTCTGTTTTCCCATTGTAACTTTATATTTTGTCTCCTAACTGTCCTTAAAGCCAAAGGAAAGAATGAGCTATCAGACTTTGTATGTTTTCCATTATACAGATCACATTACATGTACCTTGCTCATTTTGAAGAAAATTAAATGATCACCTCTAGCCCATTGATAAGAACACAGAAAAAAAATTGGGATAAAAATAGATTTTAAAGACAGCATATAAAATTATCTATAGCAATTTTTGTTTATACAACATTACTTCTGTCTTATTAGAACTCCCATTTTAAAATTCAGCTAGACAGTTCTGTGATTCTGTGTGTGTATGTATGTGTGCGCATGTGTGTAATGCGTATATGAAATACTTGGGACAGTAAAAACATGGAAATTTATTGACATAAAATAAACCACACAACTTTTTTGCATTCTTAGGAAACTTTAAATATTTAATAAGTCCTCTTTTTGCTACAGTAGTCTGTATAGCAGGATTTGGCATTGACCTCACAAGATTTTTGAGATATTGTCTTTAAGTCTTCATAATGAAGTCTCACTTTTATTACATTGCATATCAAACATGTCTTTGATAATTTGTTCATTTTCCCAAGTCTACTGTGTGTGTGTGTGTGTGAGTGTGAGTGTGCGCGCGTGCGCATGCATCTTACGTGTTTTCATTGGGTTTTAGATTCAGAACAGTTCCCAGACCCCTGAAACATAGTTAGCTCCGTAGCTCCATCAGTTGGACATATTCTGTGTCATGGTGCAAGGTCAAATTGCAGTTCTCTATCTCCATTTAGGAATTTCTTTGATTCTGGAACAATTCTGTTTCTCAGTACATGAGCATATTTTATCAGAGTTCACTCCTTCCATGAGTACAAGACTTCCTAGACCAGCAAAAATAAAAAATTCCTAAAACACTTTTTAGATAGGTGTTTTACAGTCATTGAAGTATACTCTTTGAGAGCTGTGATTTTTTTTATTATCAAATTTTATTTTTAATTTCTGGAATACAACAAGCATTTCGATAACATAGTATGATAAACAAGATGATTGCACAAGAAATTGCAAATCTGCTATGTCTAACTTGCCATTCCTTCCAAATATGCAACAAAATTATCATGTAAATTTATTTTTTTCTTCCCTGTCTCCTCCCAGTCCTTGAGATGGCTATCATTAGACATTGTGTGTATATGTGTGTGTGTGTGTGTGTGTGTGTGTGTGTGTGTATGTGTAAACTATTCTATCCATAAACTTTTGCATATTGGAGTGTAACAATCAGTGTGTATATGTGTGTGTGTATACATACATACATACATACACACACACACGTGTAAATGTATGCATGATCATATTTTTCCACACAAAAAACGTTGCATGGTGATGGCACCATCCCATGATCTTCATCAATTTAGTCCAAACCACTCCATTTTCTCCTATTATTTCCCTGCTTTTACTTCTGTCTCTGTGTCCATGTTTTTCTATGTTTCTGATTCTTTTCTTCCCCACCTGATAAGCCCCTTTGTCCCTTTAATCAAAACTTATATGAGGTTATTCTCCTCCTCAAGCAGGAGACTGTGAGCTCCCCAATATGACTACCACCAATCCTATCTCTCCAGAAAAAAAAATAATGAAAGTGTCATTTTCACATCTATTTAATGTGTCTCTAGACCAAAGGCCTACGAGCCTCATGTGACCCATAGTACTAAGTGCAGCTGAAACCATATGAAAATAGAATTGGGAATTATTTAACCAAAAAAAATAATAAAACAGGTAATATCACACTTTAAAACTAAATCAATATGTGGCCCACAGAGACCCTTATTCTGCGTTAGTAGCCTACATTTGTTTTTGAGTTTGACACCACTGCCGTAGCCCATAGTCTCCTGGAAGGCAGAGATCATATCTTTTTGTATGTTTCAATGCAGAACTTAACACTTTGCAGGCACAGTCCAATTTCAGAATTTTCCATGCATTTGGTCTCTTATTTTTCTCCGAACATTTCCTCTGAGTGATGTTATTACTGATTTCCTTTGCTTGTATCATCAGATAGAGTAGCAGTTCTTAACCCATAGTCCATGGAATCCAAAGAAGTCCATGGCTAGAATTTAAGCAGTCTGTAGAGTATAGCACATATTATTCTTATTTCAGTAATGTATTTCAATGCAGTTAGTTTCCTTTGTAATCCCATGTATTTTACTTTATGCATTTTAAAACATTATTCTGAAAGTATACTATGCATAGGCTTCCACAGACTGCCCAAGGGGACTATGACACATTGAAGTTTAAGAATTCCTGAGAGAGAGAGAGAGAGAAAGAGAACAAAAAAAAAGGGTAGAACTCAAAGCAATAAATTTTACTGGTTGTTAGAGATGCTAGTAAAAAATTTGACAATAAGATTATAACTGTTAACAAAAATCCCTGATATTTAAAGAGTTAACTGTCCTATCTCTATTTTGTCATGGATAATCTACAGGTTTCTAAATGTGGTAGGTGTGAATAGATGCTAATTTGGAAACCGATTGGAACTATAAATGGAAAGAGATTCTGTGAATTTCTGTCTTTCTGCAGGTGGTGCTTGGCAGTTTTCATTTAATGTGAAATTCTATCCACCAGACCCTGCCCAGCTATCTGAAGATATCACCAGGTATTTGAAAAAATAAATTTGAAAGTCTCAGGCACAGTAGGAGGAAAGATCTTTTTCCCAAGTTCTCTTGAGAACAACTTTGCTTGTTTCAGATAGACTCTAAAACAGCCACTTTCACTTGGCAAATTGATAGCAACTGGTTGGTAAAAAGGAAAGTGATAACATTGTCAGAAATGAAGGATATTCACTGTTGAATCTTTGATTCTGGTTGATACTTCCATATTTTTTTTGTAATTTTTTAATTTTAAATTTAAATATAAAAATGAGAAAAGAAAGATTGCCATGTACACAGGAGACCATAAGAGAGGATTCAATAAAAAAACAATGAATTTCTTTTTCAGAAAAACCTTAAAACAATGCTGTTATTACTGTATACAATATTCTCTTGATTCTGCTCATTTTGTTCTTCCATATACTTCTAACTGGTGGAAAAATATGCAGGTATGTGAGTGCTGACTTGCAGTACTGCTACGGTAGGGTTAGGTAGACTTCCCAGCTTTAGAATTAGTCCTCATGCCCACAACACATCTTTGTTTAAAGCCCTGATTCAAGTCCATACTGTGAAAGTAAATTATACTCAAGTAGAAATGCCATAAAATTAGAGCGTAAGTGGTGATTTACATTTTTCTTTTGGCCTCCATAAATGTTGCCAGGATGTCACAAGTAAGATTTTTGATGTTCTTGATGAAATAACACCCTCTCCCCTCCCTTTGCAGTAATTATGTTTTGGAAAATTGTATTGTGAGGACTCACACCAGATATTTTTGTGAAGCATGTTCACACAGATCAATGGATGCCTTTAGGAGATATTAGTGGAACCATTTAATACGATTCTTTTACGTATATGAACATATATATATACACACACACACATATATATATAATATACATATACACACATATACATGTATGTGTACATACACATATACATTATTAATAAAATCTTGCTCAGCTAATTTCCTTTGTGCAGCTGATTCAGAAGTCTTCTAATTATACCTCGCAGTAAGAGTCAACCCGCGGATACATGTGCAAACACACACTCAGAATTTGTTTCAACATAGTCCATGATTCTATCATTCTTCAAATGCTATAAATCATCCAGAATTATCAGTGACTTGGACTCTTGGTTGCTCAGTGGCAAAGAATAATTCTCCATTAAATTTATTGACATCAAACCCGAAGCCAAAGCATGGCTTTGACTTAATTCCAACAGAAACAGATGTCCTTATCTACATTCTAAAATATTCTTAGGATAGTTTGTATATTTTAGAAACTAGTTAAATAGTCACTGTAGTGGGGTTTTGTTTGTTTGTTTGTTTGTTTTGTTTTAAGGTAACATAAGACATTTTCTCTTAGTTCCAGGGCACTATATATGAAAAAGAAGTTGTAGTGGGCAAAGGAAAATTCCTCCCACCGCTGTAAGCCGAAAACACTGTAACTGTCTGAGCACTGTTCTTTGTCTTTGGAAGGTACTACCTCTGTTTGCAGCTGAGAGATGATATAGTATCGGGAAGGTTGCCATGTTCTTTCGTCACACTGGCCCTCCTGGGATCCTATACCGTTCAGTCTGAACTTGGAGACTATGACCCCGATGAATGTGGAAGTGATTATGTCAGTGAATTCCGTTTTGCACCAAACCATACGAAAGAATTGGAAGATAAAGTAATTGAGCTCCACAAGAGCCACAGGTGAATAGTAAAAATACTTAAAGCTTTTTGCTTAGGTTCGCTTTGGGAATGGGAATATTATCTAGATCAGGGGTTGGGAACAGAGATGCCTCCAGGCCATAGGCTCCCCACCCCTGATGTAGATAAACTCTTAATTCCCCCAACAAATCTAGTTCTGTCCCCCAGGAAATTAGTCATCTTTGGCTGAATGGGCTCTTTCTATACTATGTCTGGCTCAGAATATTAAAATACTTAATTTGAATTTTTTATCTTAAATTCTTTTCTCATTATTCTGCTTGGTGCTTTCTGAGTATCTCTTATCAGTCTAGGAATAGATTTTGCTACCTAGTATTGTGTAGGAAAGGCCTAATGCCTTATATAATGACTTGTTTAGCAGATGGCCAAGTAGCTAATTCTATAGAAAAAACTACTTTCTTGACCGTGTTTAAACTTTTGATTTTTTTTTTCTTTTTCTTCAGGGGAATGACACCAGCAGAAGCAGAGATGCATTTCTTAGAAAATGCCAAAAAATTATCCATGTATGGAGTTGATCTACATCATGCCAAGGTAGATGGATGTTTTTATTTATATTTCTTTCTCCTTCTCCAGATTCCTCCTCACCCCAACCAAACCCTAAACATTGGGCCCATAAATTGTGTTATCATTCCCTTCACCCATTCAGTTAGATGCAGTTTGAGTGTATGTGGAAAAACTAGCTATCCTTAGAGAAGCAATAGGTCTTAACTGATGGGGGAATCTGCCAAACATGGCCTTGAGGCTGCAGTTTTCTCACCCCTGCTTTTGGAGAACTACAGAAAAATCAAAACATGCTTTAAAACAAAACAAAACAAAATATATATTTTTAAAGGATCATTCCTTGGAACTTTATTCTTTTTTTTTCTGCTCCTCTCCTCTGCCTTGGTCCTTTGTACCTCACATGTATTAAGCACTTAATAACTGCTTGACTGATTCTGTTGAGTTATGGGTTCCACGTTTTAGAAAAGATGTTAATAAGTTGGAGAGTATATTGAGGGAAAACAACCTTCATGGAAAAGGATCTCAAGTTTATACTATACAAGGCTTCATTCAAAGACTTTGGTGAGTTTAACCTGGAGAGGAAAAGATTTAATGGGGATATGGTAAATATCAGTCAGCATTGCAAAAGCTATTGTGTGGAAAAGGTAATAGACTCATGCTACGTGGACCTAAAGGGCAGTTAGGTGGCCTGGTGGATATAGTGCAAACCCTAGAGGCAGGGAGACTCATTTTCTTGAGTCAAATCTGACCTCAGACACTTACTACATGTGACCTTGTCAAGTCACCTAACTCTGTTTGCCTCATATTTCTCATCTATTAAATGAGCTGGAGAAGGAAATGTTAAACCACTCCAGTATCTTTGCTAAGAATATTCCAAATGGGGTCACGAAGAGTTGGACATGACTGAGCAGCAGTAATGACAAGTTTGGACCTAAAGAACAAAAAAAGAAAACCGTGAGTTGAAGTAGCAAAGATGCAAAATAAGTTTGGTGTAAGTAACTACAGTGAGAATTATCTACAAGTTAAAGGATCTGCTTCAGGAAGGTGGCACATTGCCCTTCATGAGTGGTCTTCAAGGAAAGGCCCACTTACCACTTGTGAGATTTTTGTTGTGGTATAGGCCAGACTAGATCACCTCCAAGATCCTTCCCAGTTCTATTACACTGTGATGATTCCAGCAGTTAAGACACTTTCTTGGATTCACATGTTAACTTTATAAAAATATGTTGTGTGATCTTTAGCCACTCACACCCCATACCTCAGTTTCCTTAAGTATAAAATAAGTGGTTTAGTTTAAATGACAACCTAATATTGTTGTTGGGTTTTTTTTTCAGCTCTAAAGTTTGACTTTCCTTTCACCATATCACCCATTTTGACTTCTTAACTGTGTTTCATCTCTGCATTTCCAATTGACGGCTAGACATTTCTCTTTAAATATTTGTATTCAAATTTGAAACCAAAAGGGGACTTCTATTCTTATTCTCACACCCTCAACCTACACATTTTTGCACATTTCCAATACCAACATCATTTTTTTCCCAGCCACAGCTTAAAAGCTTAGTCATGTGGGAATTATTTTTTATTGTTAAATTGATCACCATCTTGTTAGTTAATTCTTCCTTGGAAATTTTTGTTATCTTTTCCCATCTCTGCTTTCACCATCTCTGTTGACGTCCTCATCACCTCACACTTGGATTTTTGTGATAGTCTCTAAATTAATTTCTCTGTATCTCATTTTTTTCCTCTCCTCATTGCTTCCTACACAGGTATCTAGACTTAAAACATTTCTTTTTCCATATTTTTCCTCCTCTGTTCAAGAATTGACTGTTGAATAAATTTCAAACCTGATGCAGGTTAATGTAACCAAGAGGTTAAAATGTTTTGGATTTAGAGGTCCTTGGTGTGAATCCAAGCTCAGCTATTTACTTACCTATGTGAGGCAAATCATTTAATTTTCATTGGCCTTAATTTCCTCATATATAAAATAATGAGACTGAACTTTATGGTACAGTAAAGCCTCTTTCATCTCTAATTCTTTGATCCTTATTTTGATTATCTTCCATAATCTAATCCTACCTTATTTGTCCAAACACATCTCCCATTTTTTGCTTCCACATGCTCTTCTGTCTCAGTCTGCTGTAGTCTCCTTCCTTTCCCCTTTTGAAAAGCACGACTTAAACAGGCTTCTCTTTGGGGCTTTGTTCTCCATTTTCTTCGACACTGCTGAAATGCCTTGCTTTGTCTTACTTGTCTTACTTACTTCAGACAATGAGGAGTAGCCCGGCTCTGCTCAGTTCTCTTCTCTTTGGTTTCTCCAAGCCACAATTAACTCACCCATTTTCAGTCAAAACTTGACTTTAGTCCACATTTTGGCACCCAATTATTTTGTTTTGTGTTTCATTTTATGTAAATCTTTCAACAGATTCTGAATACATTCCAAAAGCTTGTTTTGTTTCTCCCCTATTTCAACTACAGTTTTTATACATTTCACAGGATCAGAAATCCATAGTTGGAAGGCACTTGGAGGTCATCTAGTTCAATCCTTTCATTTTACAACTATGGAAATGGAGGCCCCAAATGGTTAACTGGCTTAAGGTTATACAAGTTGTCCGTGGCAGAATAAAGTTAAAATACACATCTTGTTACTCCAAGTTCATTGTTCTTTCCATCACACCCAGCTGCCTAATACAGTTTGATACCTATGGTAGCCATTTAAAATGTATTTGTTGAATTGAATGTCTTTAAACCTCAAACTTCAGGTGCTATGAACAGTACCCTACTTTAAATTAACATATTTTGAAGTCTTTCTTAAAATCTTTGCCACTGTCATGGAGCATGTCCAGCACAATGAAGTTCTTCAGAAGCCTCTACTTTGGCCTTTGCCTTTTAGTGAATGAATAATGCTCTGTAATATTGCAGTGCCTCCTGAATCAGTTCCATAATCACTTGAAGTAGTTCAACCTAATTATCTATCTAGGAAAAAACAAATGGATGACAAATGTGTCTTGTCCAGGGTATGATATGCTATTGGAGGAACACTCCAAACATCTGGAATTTAGATTGGTTGTGATTTGAACTGCTGATACAAATCCTATTACAGTGGCAGTTCATTTTTTCTTTTGCCTCTGTACCCATGAAAATCACAAGGAAATTGTAAAAGATTCCTATGCCAAGCATCTAATTGTGGCACAGGATCAGAGATGCAAATATAAAATAAGTGCCACACACTCTTTTTTATAAGTTTCAAAGTTTTCCGTGTTGTTGATTATTTTAAAGTTTGGATAATGCAGAAGAAGAGAAACACAGGTAGCTGGCGGACTTTGCACATTTTAAAAATGGAGAATTAGTCTGATGCCTAGTAAAAGTAGGAAGCATTAGGGCAAAATTTCAAGCAAGTTTTGATCCAGGATATATGTATGTTCACAAAATTCAAGTAAATAAAATCGCGAATTATAACAATAGCTAATCATTGAAAATAGCATTCATAATATGGTTTGGAATGGAATCAATAAAGGAAAATTAATTTGTCCTCATCAGTAAAGGTGTGTGAATGCTGGCGTGTAGATCATTTCATTGAGACATTAAGTACAGTACTTCAGTGATGGACCAGGATTTTTTATGCAGCTGAAATTCATCGTAATTTCATAATTTCCAACAGAGAAGTCACTAAGTGAAATGAGAACTGATTTCCAGTTACAAGTGAGATCCTGGTCTTCTGTTTATAGCATGAAAATCCTATGTCTTTCAGAGTCATTTGCAATAAAAATCCAAATGATCATTTCAGTGTATGTTGTGTGTTACTCTTGCATTTCTTCTGTTTCATCTCACAAGTGTATTTTGTCAACATTATGTCTGTATCTTGGGGGGTTTTGTTCCGTGAGGCTTTGTTTTTCTTTGTCTTTCCCCTCCCGATATGTCTCTTGCCAGCAATACTAGATATTGTGCTTATCATCTTGCATTTACAGCCAATTGTTTCACCTCTGATTTTGAAAAGTATGGGCAATTTCAATTAGGAAGTTTTGCTACATAGTAGAAACAGCACTGAGGAAGTTAGCAGACCCTAAGTTCAATCTCTGACATTGCCACTTATGTGACTTCATGACAGTTGACCTCCAGGAAAATCACTCAATTTCTCTCAGCCTCAGTCTCAATCTCACTAAAAAATAAAATAAAATAAAATGATTGTCCCCCTTCGTGCCTGCCTCTAAGAGATCTTGTAAGAAGCAAATGATCATGTTTAGGAAAGTGCTTTTAAAATTTTGAATGGCTATGCCCATGTAAGGCACTATCTGTGTTTATTGCCATAATCATTATTTTATGCGCGCTTCTAAATCATAGGTAGACTTCTACCTCTTTAAAAACAAATGCTTCTAAACAATAGAAATATGATATATTTAAGGCACAACTGATTTAAAAAGTGAATGGTATCTTTCAGCAGTTCTAAAATTTCATCAGACCTGATGCAATTTCTAGTTCTATAAGGCCCAGTAGTTAAATTTTAAAGTCTGTCATTCTTACTTGACTGTCTTCCAGTGCTACCTTCTCAGGCTGTATTATAAATGCTCGGTCAGTGATGAGTGTCCAGTGAAGAACTGTTCTAGAAAGAATGATGAAATATTTGAAATAAAGATTTCATTTAAAAGAAAACCTTGTACAGTATTGCCTCCCATATAAAATGTTCCAGACATCGATCAAGATTATTGTTCTCTGTCTCTAGCAATCTGTGAAATTAGGTTCTTGACAGTGAGCCTGTATGTGTTTTGTGACCAGTAAATGTATATATAACAGGGCTTTTTAGGTGAATGTCAGAAATTCTTTCCATATGCCAGAGGAATCCATGTTTCTCCATTCTTTCTTTCCCAAATTGCCATGTGAGGAGTGTATACTAGGTACTTAATCTGAGATCCTGCTAGTTTATGAGATAGGCACTGGGATTAGGTATAGTTTTGGAAAATTGATTTACATAAAGGAAGCACTAGCCATTCATCAGCATAAAGTGACAGTTTCTTAGATGAAAATGTCTTAAAGGTCTTGCTAGATAGGTATTAGATGAGTCCTCCTCTTTGGAACAAAACTCACTGGCTTATTTTCAAATTGTATTACATATTTTCTAATATATATTATATATTATAATATCCTGTGGTCAATTTAGTCTGCTCCCATCATCAGCTGTGAAAATGAAGCAATGCATTTTCAGTATACAGGGCTTTTATTTTAACATGATTAAGTTCTGTTTATAATCTTACATTTTCCTTCAAATGGACCAAAAAATTATCTTAGGATTCAGGGATTTAGCTATATACCAGAGATACTAAGTAGTAGTGTTTCTTTGAAGTGAACAGTTTAATTTGTTTCCCAATTAATTTTAAATTTTTCAGATAGGTTTTATATTCTTGGCATGCTTTTTCATTTAAAAATATGTATACATATGCATACATATCTTACCCAGTAGTGAATATCTAAGTTTTTTTTAAAGTCACTCAAAGATAAAATTAAAAGATTTTATTGCAACAAGAGTTTTGTCTAGTAGCGAAAGCACTACTGTGGACACCAAAAGGCCTAGGTCCTACATCTGAGCTTCTCTTGAGCCCCAGCTAGTTAAGTGTCAAGTGTCTGAGACCGGATTTGGACTCAGGTTCCCCTGACTCCAAGGCCAGTGTGCTATCCACTGCGACAGTTAGTTGCCCCCAAATCTTGGGATTATTCAACATGCCACATATTCTTTTTTTTTTTAAAGGCAGTTGGGGTTAAGTGACTTTCCCAAGGTCACACGGCTAGTAAGTGTCAAATGTTTGGTCTGAGGCTGGATTTGAACTCAAGAAGATGAGTCTTCCTGTTTCCAAGATCAGTGTTGTATCAACCACACCACCTAGCTGCCCCCTTTAGACATATTACATTATTTAATTCTCACAACTGTATGGATCTTTGTTTATTTAATAAGATTTAAATATATACATTAAATATAATGTAATAATTACATAATTATATAAATACAAATAAATGTTATATATTAAATACATATTACATATTTGTATAATATTTATATGTATTTAAATAAATAAGATTTATAAGATTTAAAATAAGAGATAGGATGTCTATATAAAATGGCCATCATTTCTTGACTTTTGCAGTGCTGGGGCATTTCATGTTTATGTTGCTCTGTTGATGTCATTGTTTAAGCCTTCTGCCTTTATTTATAATTTGGACAAACTATAACATGCTATGAGTTTTTTAGGCTTTTTCTTTTCCTGGACAGTTTGACTAAGTCAAGCCGTAGGTATAGTTATCATTACCTTTGATGCATTTGCAACTTTAAAACGAAGAGTACATTGTCCTTAGCATTGATCCTGAATTCATAGGCACTGATTGGTCATGTCATTCATTTTAATTTCTTAGCTACTGTGCAGCTTTGTGAACAGAGCACTCGACCTGAAGCCATGAATACCTGAATTCAAATCTGGCCCTACATACTAGCTGTATGAAAAAGTCATTTTGCTGTTGCCTCAGTTTCTTCAACTGTAAAATGGAAGTGATAATAGCACCTACCTCCCAGGGTGTGAGAGTCAAATAAGATATTATTTATAAAATCTTTTGCAAATCTTAAAGTGCTATATAAATACTACTATGTCACAGGATTGGTGTGACAATTAAATAAGATGATTTATGAGATAACACTTTGAAAATCATAATACCCTACAGAGCTATAAATTGTGGTGATGATGTTAGATACATGAAAAGAAAGAAACTGACATAATTTTGTTATTTCTGCTGTTTTCTCCCCTCAGGACTCTGAAGGAGTAGAAATTATGTTAGGAGTTTGTGCAAGTGGTCTTTTGATATATCGAGACAGACTCCGAATTAACAGATTTGCCTGGCCAAAAGTTCTGAAAATTTCTTACAAAAGGAACAATTTTTACATAAAAATCAGACCAGGGGAGGTAAGTAAATATATGTCATAATTTCCACTGGGTAAGTTCTTGATATCATGGACAAATTAAATTATATCTTTTCAAAAGCTTTCATTACTGATATATATCCGGAAGTATCTGGAAGGATTTTTGAAGTTTTTCGGATGATCCAAAATGTGTTAAGTATTTCTTTCATTTGTGTTCTCTTGTGTCCTATTTCGTCTATCTTATAACTTGCTTCCAAGATTTTTCATCTAATCACAGAATCTCAGTTTAAAGGGACTTCTGAAGTTATCTAGTCAACTTCAGTCAATGATTTCTTTTACAAACATATCTGACAAGGATGATCCATTCTTCATTCAAAGACATGTGATGATGGCAGGCCCATTATGTCCTGAGGCAGTCCATTCCACATCTGTACATCTCTACTATTTGTAATCCATAAACATTTCTCCTAATTCTGTCATCTAGTGCCAAACAAAGGAAGTCCCCTTCTTTTCCATATACCATTCAATCAAATACTTGTAGACATCTATCTTCTGATCCTGATGTCATCTCATAAACTTCTGAAAAAGTCTGATTTTTTTTTCACTAATAGTCTCATTGCTAACTCTGATTGCCTTTTGTCAGTCCTCATTCTCATTGCCCTTTATGAAGGTTTTTATACCATCAACCACCTTTTCCTCCTGTATATTTTCTGTTCTTTTGGCTTCTGTGACACTGCTTTCTCCTGGTTCTCCTCCTATCTGGTCACTTCTCATTCTCTTTCACTGAACCAGCATTCACCTCCTACTCTTTAAACATGTGTCTCTATCCTTTGCCCTCTTTTCTTCTCCTTTTATAGTCACTGTCTCTTGTTGATCTCATCTACTCAATTGGTTTCAATGTATTTTTCACAGTTGAACCCCAGATGTTTATTTAGCCCATGTCTGTCACTGCTAAATTCTAGTTGCACATCACCAACTACTTGTTAGTAGTAACTTCACCTAGATACTTCATTATGGAAATTGTTGTCTCTAGAGGTGGAATTTGAACACATCTTCTTGATTCCTATAGTTTAGTCTACTTTGTACTTATCTTCCTTCAAAATTCAGTTTAGGTGCCACCTCTAATGCAAAGCATTTCCTGTCCTTCCCCCAGCCATCCCAAGTTGTTAGTGCTCACTTTGTTGTGAAATTACATTATACTTATTTATTTATGTACATGTTGTATCCCACTTCCCCTCCACACTCCCTTCCCCCAGCGATAATGTAAGCTCCTTGAGGGAATATGACTAGTGCCTTTTTTTGTTTTAGAACCTCCATTGCGTGGCATACTGTTTTGCATATAGTTTTTGGTGAATAAACAGTTCTTGAATTGCATTGAATCCAGGCTAAAGCATGCCTATCTCCCTCAATAGTCTTTTTTAAGTATCCTCACCATCTTAGCCACTTTCTCAGACATGTTGCAGCTTATCTTTCCTAAAATGTTTTTCATTGAAGTGATCAGATACAGTAGATGCACTGTTACTAAGATCCAGTGTTTTTCTTTATTCTGAACGATATAATGTTCATCATGCAGACTAAGATCACTTTTTTCCCCTTATGCTGCCCCATTGACTCTCCTGGTCTTTGTACTCCACTAACAACTTAGTCAAAACTGTTGTCTAGGATATTTCCTTCATCCACTATTTATTTGTTTTTTGATTGTGAATATGGGATTTTACATTGAAATAAAACATTTGTAAAGCATTTTTCAAACCTTTAGAGCACTGTATAAATACTAGCTATTATTGTTACTATCCTATCTGATCTTACTAGAAATTACCCATCGTTTTAGCAGGTCAAGAACTTTTAAAATTCCAATTTTGTCATGCGTTGTGTTGGTGATTCCTTTCAACTTTGTGTCACCTGCTAAATTAGCAAGCGTTCCATCTATTCTTTAGTCCTAGTAATTAGTTTTTTTTAACTGAATAGAATTGGGCCAAGAACATCAATCTCATGACATTCATTAGAAACTTCCTTCTATAATGGAGACTTATTTATTGATCACTGTTTGGAATTTCATCAGTTAATTATTTCTAAGTCCACCAAAGATAATCATCTTATGCATATGCTAAAATCCAAATATAGTTTGTCTTTGAAATTCTTCTGTTCTAACAAATTAACTAACTATATGTGTAAATGAAATAAGTAGCCTGGCATGGTTTTATCTTCCTATGTTACAGTGATAAATTGGTAGTGGCTTTTGATCACTGCTTCCCTCTATAAATGCTCACTATCCTTGAATTCCAGTTTTCCATCTTGAGTTCTAATTCTGTACCTAAGTGGAAATGCAAGGTTAATTAGTAATTTTATCTCTTACAAATTATAAATTATAGTATTAAGAAACCCTCAGTTTTCATTTTGTTAGTAATAATTTTTCAGGTAAATAATCATGTTTCTTTTGTGTGCATTTGTGTGAACCATGTGAACTCCAGAAAAATTTCATCTGTACTTTGTTCCTTACTTAAAATTGGATATCTTGTAGCTATTGGGAAGAAATGTGGAAGAATGATATAGGAGCACTAAGGAAGTTCTCTGAATCTTCAGTGATTTGACTGTTCTTATATTCAGTTCAACAATTATTAAGTACCTACTTTAACCAAGGCATTATGCTAAGTAAATAACTACTGATACCAAAGTACAAATGGAAAAGCAAATTATTCTCTCAAGGAGTTCATGTTCTTATAAATACACAGACACACACATATAAAACAAGTATAATACACACAGATACATATTATTTATTTTTAATTTTGAGTACTTTATTACTTAATATAGGAGTTTTTAATGGAAATCCTAAAAAATTCTTCTTCAAACTATTTATTCCTAATGGCAGTTTCATTATGGAGGAAATATACCATTCATTTTTTAAAAGCAAGAGAAATAAAAGAATAAAAATTTTAAACCATGAAATTTTATGTAGATAAAAACAAAGGGTTTTTTTGCTATGTAAGAGGTTAACTTGAAATTACAGTAAATTTGTATAATAATCATAGCCTAGAGGCTACATCATAGAAATGTATTGTATATACATATAGATATAAATGAATGATATCTTTGCCTATTGGACAATAGTTTATGCTACCTCCTGTGCATTCTTTACATGGTAAATGAGAATAGAGAACACATTACACCTGGAACATCAAGCTTTTCTCTCTCAACCGTTCAGAGGCTTTAACCAAACCTTGATAGCCCAAGGAGATTGAAGAGCAGCCCAAACTTGGCTGAATTTGTATGTCTTCTCCTTTATCTGTCACCTTTATTGTTGGCCACATGAACCACTTTGCTGTAATCAATTTAATCAGAAACAAGTAACGAATTGATTGGAAAAAAGATAGGGAGAAGGGTGATGACACTGAAAAAATTTATTTGGTGAAAAGGTAGTGATGAAGGTTTAGTTTGAAAGATGTTAATGTTTATGATTACTGCCCTCTGGTGGTTTGATTGATAGCATTATCAGTTCAACAAACATCAAAATAAAACCTAGACCCATGAAGCTTTTTTTTTTTAAATTTCAGTGAAGCATCCAAAGAATATCAGGTCATTCTGAAAACTACCCAAAGGTTTGGACTTTGGGAAGACAACTTGGAACTTAAATACAGTGGAGACCAAAATACTTCACATCTGGCAAGATAATTCATGTTAGATCAAATTGAACCACCAAATCAGCAGGGTATATGTTATTGGGTGAAGGATGAAATGGAAGAATTTCACAAAATCCTCAGGAATTTTATTCATTAGCTAGACAAGTACTAACAGGGAATTTCTATGCTTTAATTGGACATTCTAAATCCATTGTAAGAAGAGACTATCTAAATTTAGCACTTGGTCAACAAGCATTCAGTAAATGAGTAAGCAGTAGGTGTACAAAGAAAGGGGCAAATACCTTTTATGCATTTATGATTTGTATGTAGCAAAATGGAATATTTGCTGAAGGGAGATCCTTAGGTCCTCTAAGTCTGATGTATGGAAGATTATTAAAAGGCAGAGACATTCCTGTGAAAATTGGCTTTACTTAAAAGCTTAAAATATATGAAGGCCACTATAAATTTGGTGCGTTAAATATGATTATATAATTATATGTGGATCCTAATGAATTTTGCAAACTATTTTTGAGGCTACTGTATTTACGTGTCATAAAAACTGTTATTGAAAAATCAATGTTCAATCAAAGGTTTTTTTTCCTTTTCTTCCCCTCATCTAGTTTGAACAATTTGAAAGTACCATTGGATTTAAGTTGCCAAACCATCGTGCTGCAAAGCGTTTATGGAAAGTATGTGTTGAACACCACACATTTTTCAGGTAAGTAGAGATCTTTTCTTTCTTTTTTTTAACAGCTGTAGAATAATTCAGCTAATGAAGGCAAATTGTTAGCAATTAATTATCCTAAGGAAAATTTCTTAGAGGAAGAAATATATTTAAAATTCAGAAGTAAGTATTTTTTTTACCAACTCAGATGAGTGGTTTGCAAACAATTAGTTTCGGGGCTCATGTACATTTTTATACAGAAGTTTCCAACACTTTCCCACCTTATCAGTTTCTACCCTGACCTTTTCCTTGGTCTTGTTTCTAGAATCCTCATCTTTCTCTTTTCTATAATAATATTTTTTCCTCAGAATATTTCTTCCATTCTTTATTTCTTTGAAATTTGCCCATCACTACTCTAGATTCAATCTCTCTTTCTTACCTGTGTAATAAAAAAGGAAATATCTGCTCATAAAAACCAACACATGAAACCTGACATGTTCTAGTTTGGGAAATAATTATTTTAGTTCGTTAATATCATCTAATTGCTTTTTGTTCTTCAGAAATGGTATTTGAATTGAATTGTACTCCTCTTGTCCAGTCAATTTTCTCAGCTTGATATTTACATAATAATTTGCTGAAGCAGGAGAATCTATAGTATTTCACTTTCCGAGAGAGAGAGTGTGTGTGTGTGTGTGTGTGTGTGTGTGTGTGTGTGTGTGTGTGTGTGTGAGAGAGAGAGAGAGAGAGAGAGAGAATGAGAGAAACGCTTAATCATTTTTTCCCCTGATACTTCTTAGGCTCTTACTACCAGAAGCACCGCCAAAGAAATTCCTTACCTTGGGTTCCAAATTCCGCTATAGCGGCAGAACTCAAGCCCAAACGAGGAGAGCTAGTGCACTGATAGACCGACCGGCACCTTATTTTGAGCGTTCTTCTAGCAAACGGTACACAATGTCCCGCAGCCTGGATGGGGGTAAGGGTCATTGACTATCCCACTTCAGAATTATTTCTAGTTATGATGGGCTCAAGAAAGAGCGTGAGCTTTCCATAAACTCAGATTTCCTCATCTTGTGATAAAAGAAACGCTGTTGTATGTGACTGGGTGATAATTTTTAAACTAACAAGTCTACCTGCAGCCTCAATTTATATATTTTTTCCAGTTTCTCTTAGATCAAAATGTAGACGGGGGGTTGTAGGAAATAAAGAATCCTGCCTCTTCGTGTTAGGCTAACTGGTTTTGACAGGGAGGGGATGGGACTGCACCTGTGATTTCATTGGTATGGGGAAATTCCCTCTGCAAATACATATCTCTGCATGTGGGTTGCAATTTATAATTTTATAGAGTTGCCTGGGAGAGATTAAGTGGTTTGTCCAGTGTCACACATTCAGTATATATGAAAGGCATGACTTGAACTCGCACCTTCCTGACTCCAAGACCAGTTCTCTATCCACTCCATACAATCTTGCCTCTTAGCTTTTATTGATAATTCAGGAAATTTTTGATTCAAGAGAAAGATGTGCTGTAGCACCAAAAAATGGCAGTCATTGAGTATATAAGTAATATGAATCTGTTGCAGGTCAACCCTGTATAAATCTTTGGAGCAGGTTTATTGACAGTTCCAGAAAGTAAACAATGTGTTACATATGTCCTTACTTTCAAGTAATAAATATAATTTAGTTTTTATAATTGACTAATAATGGTGGATAGAAATGATCATACTAGGCTCTGTTGCCTGTTATAGAAACTATATTAAGGGCTTGAAGTTAATGTCATTTGTTGTAAATAAAAGAAAGAACTGCTTAATCACCCAACAAACTTAGGGACATTACCTGCTATTAATGATTAAGTTAAATGAATGTATGGTAAAATTGTACTGGTACATGGTTGTTCCTGAAATTCTTTTTACAAAATAATATGTTATCTGTATTGTAGCTACTTTTCCTACCTCTCAACTCTTTTGCCCTCAACTTCTACCCAACTGCTATGGAAGGGAGATGTATTAGATACATTGCTAGGGGAAAACTCAGAATACGTTTCCACATAGAAATATTGTTATCCATGATAGATAATTCAGTACAATTCAGATGTGGTTATTGATGAAATTGGCTCTCTTGTTATACTCCAAGATATGTTAGGTCACCATTGGTAGCATTGTTTCTTTGGGGAAATTTATTCCATATTAGAGTGAATCAACTTACATTTTTACTTTTAAACACAAACCTGTCCCCAAATCGGGATTGCCAGTAATTGAATGTAGATTAGAATATCCCAGATACTTTTTTTGATTAATAATACCCTCTTCTCTCTGCTTACCCTGATATTCTCACTTGGCTTTCTTAATCACAGACTCTGAGTTAGCTCCTTTATATTAAACATCTAAGAAATCTAAGTTATGTCTTTTAAAGTCATGTCTTTTAAAATTTTATTTCACTGTTTGATGTTTGTATTGTGTCTCCTTATGAGAAACATGTTTGTTTTGAATGTGGTTCCAATAATGATTTTGGTATGATGTTTGTTGCTGTGAAAGGGAAAAATATTGTCAAGTATATGTGCTAATAACATCCTATCTCTTCCTCTCCCTGCCCAAAAATGATGTTAGTATGTCTTGTCTGTCATGAATTGGGATTGTGCTGATTGCAAGCTGGGAAATGCATGTTGCAGCATAAATTGCTTTTTTTGCTTAGCTGCATTGTATTTAAGATAGCAAGTCCGGAGAAATATCATGGGTTAAAGAAACTCTTTGAAACCTTTAAAGGAACTTTTAAGATTTAGGCATGCACTCTGTGAAGAAAAGTGAATGCTTAGTGAAGGGATTTGCTATTACAAAGATTTTAAGGATCCCTTTCCAACATTTTGTTTTAGTATCCAAAGGTCTTTAAATCCAACACCAATTGTAGTTCATTCTTTTTTGTTTGTTTAACTGTTGTGTATATAGAGACATATTTGTTAAGTTTTGATAAATTTTATGACATTCATGTCCTAAAATGATTAGCACTAGTTTCTTGCAATTTAATTGGGTCTTTTTTAATTAAAACATTTTTCACAGTATAAAAGGACATTTCTTAAATCTTAGATGCTCTGCATGCATTGCATTTGTATGGCTTCCATTTAGCATCTGTTTGTCATGCTTCCCAAATATAATACAAATGCCTGTTACCTTTCATTGCTGCCAGGTTACCCTGCAATGGAGATTGCAATGTTTCTCATCTTCTTTTGATTAGTTACCACTTGTTTTTTTCATCTTTGGCTAGATAGTGGTGTTTAATTATAGTAATGACTTTAATATATGGTGATTATGTTTCCATGTATCCCAGCAACATTTTTTAATACATAGATCATTATTAATATAGCACTTATTAATGAAAGACATTTCCAAAAATATTGTCAAAAAAATTTTCAATCTAACACCAATTCCTGGCCATGGATATTGAAGCAAATGTATCTCCTAAAAAAAACTAGCATTAAATGGGCTGAACTACAGGAGTTGCTGCTTGGTATCTGATTGTCTGTAAATGGACTTGGAGGAGGGGTCACCTCAGGCTTTTCCTCCCGTATTTTCCAGTTGTTTTTAAACTCTTACGTCTTCAGAGCTCTTTCTTTTAAATTATTACTTTCAGCATGGGGATTGGCTAAAAGCATTCTGTTTGTTTTTTGTGTTAATAAGCACATGAAGAATTTGCAAATGTGGGTATACAAAATCTACAAAAGCTATGTGTGCCCCTAGGCTTAAGTATTCACTGAGCAAATTTCATCAGCCAGTTTTCCAAGCTTTCTGATATGTGGGGAAAATTTTCAATAATAATTGTGACATTTTTAACCTGCCTTTTAATATCATACAGAATTAACTATGTCAGATTTTTTTATATTTGCCTTTAGCATCAGTGAATGAAAACCATGAAATGTACATGAAGGATTCTATGTCTGCTGCAGAGGTTGGTACTGGCCAGTACGCCACGACAAAGGGCATCTCTCAGACCAACTTGATAACAACTGTGACGCCAGAGAAAAAGGCAGAAGAAGAGCGTGATGAGGAAGAAGACAAGAGGAAAAAGGCTGAAGAAATCACTCCCGTCTCAGCAGTACGGCATGAGGCAAAGGTAGATTTTTCTAGGCTTCTTCTACAGTTTGCTCACTGTTCTGGGGACTATCAAGCCATTATTAGAGGAAGTAAGCAAAGAATGAGTTAAGTCTTGGGATGACTTATATTGATGACAATATTTCAACATTGATCATATAAATGTCAGCTTCATTCATTCACTTATTATAACTCTTATTTGCTTCTGAAACAATTCCTTTTAAAAAAAAGATGACTGAGGTTCTATGTAAGACTTTCAATAGCTAACCCAGTAATGTCTCTAAAAGTTGATTTATTATAACCAGATGATAATTTGCAACTTTGAGTCATAATTTAGACTCAATAGTAGTTTTCCTGTATTTGTTTCTGGCCCCATTTTCCTATTCCACTGCTTAGTATATATTTTTTTCTATTAACAAAGGTACAAAATTGCTATTCCTATGTTTAGATGTGTTGCGTAACTATAGTTTGTACATTTATATGCCATCTCTTATCATGGATCTTATAGATTCCAAATAGTATGGTCCTAGTGACAGGCTCCCACTTGAGGACCAAACCAAGTATATAGGGAAATTCATCGCCAGAAGTTGACTGGCAGGTGATGAACAGTTTCGCCATGGCAACTTAAGAAGCATGCAGTCATCGCAGCAGTTAGTGACTGTGTATTAATTAGGTAAAGCAAAACAAAGAAAAGCTATGTAGAAAGCCAGGTTTGAACCTAGAAACAAACCTCCTACTCATTATTATTATTATTGTTATTGTTATTGTTATTATGCTGTTGATTAGTTCTTGCTACTTGTTTATTCTATAAGTCTTCTCTTTCTGATGATCTGTATTTCAGGCACTGTAAGACAACTTTCCAAAAAATTAACTCAAACATTATAAATCTTGCTGGAAATTTGGTAAATAATGAGTAAGAGAAAGAGGCAGGAAAGTGGTGCTTCTGAAATAAGTAGAGCTGTGAAGCCAACATTGGTAGTTGACATACATTGAAATTATAGTCATTGCATTTATGATCAAACAGCATCTGATTATGCCTATTAGTGGAGATATTTTAAAGCTACCTTTAGAATAGCCCCTCAGGATTACATAGAATTGTGGTCTTCAGGATAGATACTCTTCAAATACAGATGATTAATGTAGTGGATATAATATACAATTCTGTAGACAAATAGCATTTCTGATTATTTTTTCCAGTAACATCTTCTAGTAGGACGTCCTTAAACAAAGGTCTAGAATGTTCAAGTGTATTACATTATATTAAATGTTGATCTCTGCTGTTATTTTTCTACAGGCTAGTAATAGTTGATTTTCCTAGATAGTGTGTTTTTTTGGGTTGAGAGAATAAATTAACTAGATATTCAAATGTAGCTATAGCAGAAAATAAGGACGTGAGTTTTCAGATTATGTGTAGTCTTCCTTAAACACATTCATTATAACTTTTAAGATAGCTTATTTAATGTTTTATTTCTTCATTTGAGTTGATCTGTAAATAAACCAATAATTTAGTATTTTTTTTAAAATTTGAGGTAATCTAGCTGAGTGACAGTGGATAGTTTTATGCTAATTGTTTTGCTAGCTTCATGCTGTTTATGGCAGCTGTACAATTTGAATACAATTAGAAGCATTCTTTTCAGTTGACTTTAAAATAGTCACTTACTTAGGTTTTTAAAGCAAGTGCTAATTGTATTAACTAAAGCATGTAGCACTAGTGGGTTGTATCCATTTCTGACATAAACCAGTCCACAAAATCTTGTGGTTTTGAAACGTTTTACTTGAATGAGAAGTAATTAGAACTGTGGCTGAATGTACCCAAGGGAAATAACAATATTTGTCATAAACATGGCAAATCCATGTATCCTAAAAGCCTATGCTTTGAGTAGGTGAAACCCTTTTACTCTCTGAGACATTGACACTGACCCAGTGATTGAAGCACATTAACCTTCTCTTACAATGCTTCATTTCCAGATGTTCCTTAGGAAGTACTTTGCTCAGCACTGGGGCCCAAAAGCACGACCTGACCAAATTTTACTTGTCCATTCCATCCCTTGAACACTTTCGAAATAATGCTTCAGAGTTTTGTTTTTAGAAATATTTTCACCCCACATATGAAATGTGTGTAAACCATGATTGGTAAATAATTTCTAAAATGCAGGTAGTCTTAAGCCCAATAATGAAGACGTTGTGCTTCTCTCTGTAGGCTAATGATCACTTGTATGCACTTGGTACTCTAGTACAAGCCAGAAAGGATGATTTTCATTCAGAACCCTGTTAGTATTAGAAAATCAGCTTCATGGAGACTCATATTTACAAATTTTTTCCATGTATAATGTGATTGTGTTTTCATATGGCATACTAGGAGAAATACAGGTTTACATCTGTTAATATAGCACAGGCCTTACTAAGTATGTATACATGTAAGGCATGATGATATTAATGCACGTTCTGCTTCTTCTCATTTCACCCTTAAAATTGAGTTTTCTTATCTTTAAAATGGTGAAAATGCCTGCACTGCTTTCCTTCGTTTAATGAAGATGCTTTGTAAAATACTGCACAGTGTATGCTGGGAATACTTCATTGATGCCAGACCATTAGTCACTTGTCAGAAGTATTAGTTTAGTCATTATTCTAACTGCCCACAATAGAAAAAAATAAAAGAAGTTCAGATTACCTCACAGTTGCTAGAAAATGCTTCCCTGCCTGACTGACCCAGTTTCCAGGCATCTTGCTTTCCCAGCTTTCCACATTTCGCTGAATTTGACAGGGGCAACCCGTGGGGGAGAACACTGTAAATAGGTCTCACCAATCCAGGATATGCACCTCTTCCTAAGTAGAGCCTCAAAGACATTACCATACCTAGGGTTAGGATTAAAAATAAATACTAATTTATTAATAACACTGGCATATACATGAAATGTGCATCAAAAATGTATTCCTTTTTATATGAGTGGCCTCTCAGGTAGCCAGAGGAAAAGGAAGCTGCCTTGGATATAGTCTACTCTGGAAGCCTTTTGGGATAAAGACTCAAATGCCTGAAATAGCCTACCCCCTGCCCTGACCTAGATCTCATTGAGAGGCCACTTAAGTCAAAATGTGGTTTTCTCATCTATTATTAGACACCTCCTGTTTTAGGTGCTCAAGATGGGATTTGAACACAAGTGATAACTATATGCTAAAAAATGTTTATGATAATTATAAAAGCTATTTCGTATACATGAAATCATTTTCACATTGGAAGCTCCTTGTAAAATTATTATTAATTTCTTTTCAAAGTGAAATTTCCTTTGGTGTATTTCAGTTGTGACAGATTTTACCTGGGATTTTTTTTTCTTTATTAATTAGGAACCAGATTCACTAAAGTGTTGGCATAAAATGGGACCACACCTCCCAACTGGAGTCTTCAAATTAAGAATGCTATTATTGATAGTACGTCAGATTATTCATTGTTTGAAAAAGAAAGCTTTATAGCTAATTTCTTCATGCTCAAAATCTTCCTTTGAGACAGAGAGAAGTAGATAATGTTTTCCAGATGGTAAAACTGAGGGGCAGAGAGGTTATATTTTTCTCAAGTTCCCACCATGGCGGATCTAACGCTAGAACCCAGGTTTCATTATTCCAAGAAGAGAAAGGAATAAAATTTTTGTAGCACTTACTATGTGCCGCACACTGAGCTAAGTGCTTACTTTACAAATATTCCCTCCTTTGATTGTCACAACAACCCCTATGTTACATTTGAGGAAATTGAGGCAGACAAAGGTTATGTGACTTGCCCATGGTCGTACAGCTAGTATGTATCTAAGGCCAGATTTGAACTCTGGTTTTCCTGGCTCCTAGCCCAGCACTCTATCCTCTGAGTCGTCAGCTACCTCTGAACAAAGCATTGTTTGTTCTGCTAAATATAATGAGATTTAGATAAATGATATGGTAGGGGTGTTTTTATGTTGAACAACAATTTAAACAATGTCATAATGAAATGTGATGTGCTGTGTGACACATGGCAGTGAAGTTGAGTCTTACCTTTCTTTGGACACTCTGGACTAATCTATCCATAGAAATGCCTGTTCTTACTATGTTAAAAATGACTAGTTGATGAGGCAAGAAATATTCTCTTTGCGAGCTAACCATTGTACCAGTGAAGCAAACTTTAAGAAATATCCTCTCATCCTCTTTTTATATCCTAATTTTTCCTAGTTAATTTCTTAAAAACCACTTGGTGTTTTAACTTAAATTATATTCAAAGGGACCAAAAAAAACTAAAAGAAATCTTGGTTTTTTGTGAGTGATTTAAAAAAGTCTGATTTGAGATTTAATTAGCTAACTGGGTAGAAATTCATTTATATCTGTTTCAGATTACTCTTTGATATGGTGGCCCAAGTCATACTAGCCTTTTGAAAAGGAATGAGGCCAGAAATTTAAATTTTAGCAGCTCACTTGATTTCAAACTCAATGGAAATAAAAGGATAGTGAAAATGTTGTACCAGGTCAGGATTTATTTTCAGTTTTTCAGCCAACTGAAATATCAGTTACATTTCTTTCATCCAGAGGTCAGGGAAAGGTTCTTGAAAGTCTTGGTATCTCAGGTTGTCAAGTGCATTTATTTCTGTTGTCAAACCCCAAAAGCTTTGCAATTATTTTGCTGTGTCATAGTGAAAGTACTTTTAAAATCTGTTTTGGCAGAAATTTTACAGCCATTTGAATTCCATAAAATCTAGAGTTGAACATGCACAGACCCCCATGTTATAGCTTTTTAAAATGTATTTGTATATGCATATATTTATATATAACTTTATAGGCAGGCTAATAAAAAACTTATTTGTATGTTTTTTAAAAATTTGTAACCATTAGCCATTCATGACAATTTTGGCATGCAGCTTGAATATTTTTTTTAATTCTGTGAACAACCCTAGTGCTAAAATTCTTGTTTTAGAATTTTATACTTATTCCTAGAAGAAAATGAACTAATTACGATTTTCTTTTTGTCCTTTTTGCACCTTTTTTTGCTGCTTTCTCTTTCTCTCTGTTTCTCTCTTTCTTGCATCAGTCACCTTGGCTTGGCAACAGTTCATTTTTCTCCTCATCATCCTCATACAGTGGTCCCACTGCATCTCCAGCAACACTCCGTAGGAGATGTAAGGAGAATGTTCAAAAAGCGTTAGGTTGTGAGCCAGCCAAAGACACTGGGCAGACTCGTGGTGAGCCTGACTTGGATTCTAATGGGAAAGGGAAAGCTTACGCAGGGGATCAAGATCTGGCCTTTAGCTACAAACAACAAACTTGCAAAGGCGCAACGCTGTTTTCCTTCTCCTTACAACTCCCAGAGTCATTTCCTTCTCTTCTAGACGATGATGGGTACCTCTCTTTCCCCAACCTTTCTGAAACCAACTTCCTCCCTGCGAACTTGCAGCATTACCTGCCGATTCGTTCTCCATCGCTTGTGCCCTGTTTCCTCTTCATCTTTTTCTTTCTGCTGTCCGCTTCTTTCTCAGTGCCGTATGCCCTCACTCTTTCCTTCCCTCTGGCTATGTGCCTCTGCTACCTGGAGCCCAAGGCAGCCTCCTTGAGCGCCTCACTAGACAATGACCTGAGTGACAGTTCAGAGGAAGAGGTGTGTACCTCGGCATAGAACACAGTTCCTTTTTGTGTTCAGTGCTTCAGTCCGAAATAATGTTAGACGGCTGCTTCGATAGTGGTCCTACTTTCAGAGCCTCATTTATTGTCTGTGCCAATATGTTAAGAGGTTTTGTGTGTTTGAGAGTATAACAAGGTCCCTGGGGTTAGGCACAACACCTTGTGTTTTGTCATAGTCTGGGTCCAGCTTGGGAGATCTCTCAGCTCTTCAATGCATTGTGCACCTGGCAACATAAATACTGAATCAAACCTGACATCCATTTTAAAGTTCTTATTCAGCTGTAAACATCAGGAAAAACTACCGAAGAAGATACATTATATGTAAAATAAGTATGAGATAAAAAAATAAGAATGAAGACATTTATGTTGATGCCGTGAAAAATATTCCAATTTGCTATTAGAGTAATGATTGAGGTAGTTAAGGTTTCGATCATACTATACTTGAGCAGTGTCAGGCCAGTAAGTAGAGAGAACTCCATGTAGTCAGTTCCAGACATACTTCATCAGGAGACATGTGATGAACCACTTGAAGCTAAAATCTTCAAACATTTGCCTGTGGATTGGCAAGACCAGCCCCGTATATTTTGTGTCAGGGATGTAGAACGGGCAAATTTTTCAACTGATGATGAATTCGGGGTCCATATATCCAAAAACACACCGACAATATCAGGGGATTCTAGTAGTCCACCACGGAACAGTCAACCAGTGGAGTCCTGGTAGGTGAGTTCTGGAACTTCTGGAAATTAACTTCTCTAGAACAACCATTCCAAGATTTTGATTCTGAATACTTCCTTGTAATATGAGTATGCTAGTAAGTGAAGTAGAAGCAACCTAAATTAACCGTACTGCCAACAGATTACCCTTTGCCTGGCATCCTTTCTACTTCCATAGAAACATGAGCACCTCAGTAAATTTCATTCTGAGAAAGAGAGAACAGAATCTGCTAAGCATAGTCATCAGGGTGTCATTTTTTTTTCTGCCTAAATTTCTTCCCAGGCACCAGTATCACATAAACATGGAGCATTTTATTGCAACAGATAGTGCAAATATTCCTGAAAAGTATAAAACACAATACATATGTACATGTATTATCTTAAATAATAAGGTATATTCTCTTGGATATGTACATGTATGTGTGTGTATATATATATATATATATATATATCATGGAGATATGTGTGTATCATATATCTTTAAGATAAAATACAAAATCAAGGTAACACAGGAAGAGGAAGAATGTCTCATCAGTTTTACTTAAAATACATCGATTTAGGTTTCACCTGGGAGCATATAGGAATTAAAGGTGTAATGCATGGACCAATATTAAGATATGGTCTGAACCTTTCTTTGCAGGCAGACAGCATAAAGTGTGCGTGTTTTGGCAGAGATTTGGGGAGTGGGGGTAGAGGGAGAAAGAGTTTAGTTGCTAAATACAGAAGGCTATACTATATCTGAGCCACATAATAGAAGCTAATTCTATAATGTCTGTCGATCAGAAATTAACAAACTGTATAGGTTAGGTCATTGGCTATAAAGAGTCTTTGTTACCTCAACACAATAAGCCCTTTAAGGGTTACCTTAAATCTGTGGCCATGCTACCATTAGTTTTAACAGTAATAGTAACATTTAATAAAGGTCTAGGAATAGATCAAATATGTGCTTGTGTTGATCTGCTAATTTAAAACTTTAATTTACGTCAGTTCTGGAAATGATCTTTTCCCACTTAACACTTGAATTGATGACTCAGAGTATTAACATTAGCATTGGTATATAAGTTTTGCAGTTTTATGCAAAATTTTGTACTTTTATGTAGGAAACTACAGAGATCTTGTGCCTAATCCAGGGTATACATCTTGTTGTAAACTATGCATGAAAATTAATGTTAAACTTGGGCATGTCTGCATTACATTGGCAAAACAAATCACAGCAGTTAATTGTTGCAAGTAAGAGGAAATGGGACTGAAGCTTTTTAGCACATAGCTATCTTTGTATTTGAAATACTCAAAATCTACAAATTAAAACCAGCAACTGAAGAGTTTACTTAGCCCTCTACTCTTGGTAAAAACCCTGCCTGCATGAGGAACCCTCCACACATTCCATTGCTCTTCAGTGGTACCAAATTTGTATTCGGTCATTTATCTGAAGTTACCACTTAGTTTCTGAATGTAGTTCTGGTTATTAGCTGGGTCATCTATTTGGGTAAAAAAGTTAAGAGGCTGAATATTTGGAATGTATTCACTCCTCTGGTAAAAATAACCAGCATTATGCAATCTACCTACATTATCCATAATATTTTCTAGATTCCACAAAACTGTAATCAATCATTCCTCACCAGAGGCAGCTAGATTAGGTGACTTCTTAGGGTTCTTTGCAGCTCCTTAATTTTCTTATTCTTTTTAATCAACTAATGTCAATTATGATGATGCCTTAAAATTGTAACATCATTGCTCACATTTTAAAGTGATAATGGTATTCAACAACACATTGTAAAAGTAGAAATTTTCTCTATACTGAAAATCAGGTTTCTTTTCATCCTGATCCATATCTCCCATGTGTCCAGAATGCATTTAAAAATAATTATTAGCTGATAAGTTTCTTTTTGGTAGTTTCAGAAAAAAAAAAAGAGGAAGGGACAGATTTTTGAGAATTGAGTTAATCAGGAAGACGTTAGGCTTAGATCAGCGGAGCCATCTCCAGTCCTGATCTATATCTTGCCACTGGACCCAGATGGCTCTGGAGGAGAAAGTGAGGCTGGTGACTTTGCACAGCCCTCCCTCGCTTAAATCCAATTCACTTGCAGGTCATGGCATCACCTCCCTAATGTCATGGTCCTCTTCAAGAATGAAGGACAAATGACAACAACAACAGGCTTTGATCAGATCTCAGTACACAAGGAGGAGGAATCTGCCTCACTACTGTATGGCACTTGGCCCCTTAAGATTCTTCAGTGCAATTTGCATTGCTACAATACGCTTAAGTACACAAAATGCTAAGAAATAAACTGTTTGGTTTAATAAATTATTCTTTGAAGTGTACAGACATCATGTTTTATCATGAAAGATCATGGAGCACTCTATCTTACCTTAGTTGACAAATAAAACCTGCAAATGGAACAAAATTTCATTAATTTGGGATCCATTGATTTGGAATTTGTGAAAGTTTGGACAACTTAAGAGTTTTGATCTTAGCACTATTTATGAAAAATTATTTGCTAAACAAATTCATAATGTGAACACATTTTTAAGGTAAATACTCATTACCTTCTTAAGAGAAGAAACTCTTTTTCTTGAAATTTAGTAGTAAACGCTTGAAGTAGTTTATATACTAATTTTGAGTCATTTTTATCTATTCATGAAACCTTAAATTCCTTTCAAAATGTGCCATTTTTACTAGACTTTTTACTAATTCAGGCTATCCTTTCCCCCTAATCATTGCAATTCAAAGATATTTTAACATCATCCTTACAATTAAATAGGAAAAGGAGACCATACCAGTTTACCCATATTTAAATTTTAATTGTCCTCATGTTGAGAAATATACATTGACATTGTATCCCAGTGACCTAACATCATCATTTACTCTAATAAAGTAGCTATTTTTAAGGTTTCCTTTCATGCTTCTAAAGCCATAGAAATTTTGAATAACTAGAGAGCTATTTCTTATAGCTTCATAGACGCATCCAAAAGTGATTTTTAAATATCACCAATTAGGAAACAACTTTTCTAAGTAAAGAAAGTCAGAATACAAGATGTGTGTCTTTTTTGTACTCCCTCTGGAAGACTAAAAATGGAGGAAGACTCCTCAACCTCATATAGTCCAAACGTCTAGATTATCCCAGCTTCAGTTATTCCATATTCTAGCTGGGACTCTGTATTCATCAGTAGTCTCTTCTTCATATTTGGGTAGATAGTTATAAAAATAAAAGTCACCTGAAAAGACTAGAATTCAGTGTAATACAGTAATGCCTACATCTTGTCATCTTCATGAGAAAGTAATCTATGTAAATTGTACTGTTTAAAATATTGGCACTAGAACTGATTTTAAGCCGGTCTAGAACTTGCCAATAAGCCTAAGAGTGCATCTACATCAATCTAGGTCCAGTCTAGACTATAGAATGCTGTGCTTTGTTTTTATTGTATCTACTAGATGTTATTTTTCTGCTTTATTTGTACAGTATTTATCAGAATGACATGTTTAAGAATATAGTTCAATATACTTTCTATTTTGGAAAAAGCAGAAGCAAATATACATATTTAATCTGGAAAACATTCAATAACAACTTTCTTTGTCAAGTGAATGACATTTTTGCACGAATGCTACGTATGCTGTTGAGTTACTTTGATCTGCCTGTAGGAACTAATTGGTAATGCAGACAGCCTAATGGTTCATAAACAATGTAAATAATCAAATCTGTATAAATGAGGGGCTGAAAGTCAGGTGACTGTTATAGTAGCTTTTTTAAATATTTTATAATAAATTTCACCTCTCAACTCCAAGTAAGCTTAACATGAAAGGCAACTTTTAATACATTAAACAGAAATATTTAATAGATTTATCAAGGGTTTAGTTGAAGAAAAAATGGGAGGGAAAGGGCAACAAACCTACTTTCCCCAAGGAAAAAACCCATTAGACTCTTTTCCCAGACAGTTCAGATTGGCTAAAATAGTCACTACAATAAAGCATCATGCTATGTCTATCTTGAGTCTTCCTCTGAGTCTGTTCTGTTGACCAAACCTAGTTATGGTTTTTCTTTTACTCTTGCTTAAAGCTGCATACTATTGGGAAGGTATAGTGTGTTGTAGGTCCCCGTCATAGAGATGGACCTATGTGAGCTGTGACCTGCCCTGTTTGACACCATGTGTTTATTTTCTATTCCTGCCTACCTTCTGGACCTTGATTACTTGTGTAATCAATAGACTGACAGTGAACGGACGGATACTGCAGCTGATGGTGAAACCACTGCCACTGAGGTTGGTATAGTAACTACGAGCACATATGGTATACAGTTGTCAGCCAAGGAAGTGTAACATATGGTATAACTTTGCCTGTAATGAATACTTTGGACATCGTGCTTATTTTACACGGCTTTGCTTGTAAAGGAAATGAATTTTCACCTGAATCAGGGGACTTCAATAAGATTTGAATATTATTATTAACCAAGTATAAAAATCATAAAAAAGTTTATGTATGGTAGTTTCCTTATACCATTTTCCCTCTTCACCCAATTTTTGCCCTTAAAGAACTAGATATATATATGTATATATATAAATAAATGATTCTTCCTTTCTTTCCTTTTTCAAATCATGAAGTCTAATTTTTAAAAAATGAGCCTATACCAAAGTCATTTGCTTACAAGAGGGAAAAAGTATATTCAAGCAGTATATGAAAATTGACAATTTATGCTAAGAATTTTGCTGCCTAGAAATCCATGTCAGTAGTTCTTCCTTTTTTTCACTCATCATACATTTTGGAATAAAGCTCTTAAAAAAAAATAAATCTAAACAGCCCATATACATCATTCATGTTTTCTTTACTTGTTAGAATCTGGCAATCATAGAGAACAAACTTTCTTTTCCAAAATTAATATTTTTGATGGAAAATGATGGCATTACACTCTCATAATGAAAGAGTTCCTTTTCTAGTAATTTATTAAAACTTTCCTTCAATGTGATAGATTTGTTTTTTACTCATGCGTGCTTTGTCAAGAAATAATTAGATGTCTATATATAAGTAAATTGAATTATCTATTTTTAAAAAAAATTCACTGATACATTTATACGATTTATTGATCTTTGGAGGAATCTGGAACTATTCTAAATAATACCTGAAAGTCACTGTTGATAATGTGGTGAACCAGCTTGAGATGTGAGTTTAGTTGTCTGCCTTGGAAATAACCCAGACTATAGAAAGGCAATTCTGGAGAGCAGAGAAAGAGATTTACTGGTCATGACCATGAAAAAAATCATTTAACCACTCAGAGCCTCTTTTCCTTACGTGTGAAAAGAGTATTGGTATACCACCTGCCACAGAAGATGGTTGTGAGGAAAGAAACCTGTAAACCTTAAAGCATCATATAAATGTGAGTAGTTATTGAGAAACAAACAAACATTCAGATATAAAACTTGAATATTTGAAAATTATTGATTTAAGATTAAAATTAGAAATAATATAGTAAAATCTGGCGTACAGATTAGGGAAACTTCTGTATGATTTTTAGAATTTTTTAAAAAATTATCAAATGTAATAGAAATACTATAATAGTATTTCTTGGTTAATGTATCCCAAATTTTATGTACACTTAACATCTACATACACATGTATGTATATGCATGTGTGTGTATACAGCCTATATTCATGGTGCTTTTAGCTTTAATTTAATCTGTGTCATAGTCAACTTTAAGGTTAGGGCTACTTCATTTCTGTCTTTATATCTCCAGAGGTGCTTAATAAATGTTGAATGATTTATCATCATAAATATTGACATATAAATAACTCTTTAAGGTTTACAAAGTGCTTTACATATATGGTCTTATTTTATCTTCCCTAAGTCGCTAAGTGATAGGTACTATGAATATTGTTGTCCTGTTTTTTACAGGCAACATTTGCACGAACTTTTGAATCCTGTGTGTTGCATGGTGTGGGGATTACAGTGTGTTATTGATAAGGAAACTCAGATGCAGAGAAGTTAAATGGTGTATCTAAGGACATACAAATGAATACTGTCCTTTTTCTGACCCCCTTTCAACTTGTGATCTGCCACCAATTTTATATTCTCTCGTTGTATATTAATGTATGTAATCATACTTGTAATTTTCATGCCTATCTTACTTGTGTGTAGTTTATACTAGAGTTTCATCTTATAAATTAATGTACTTGGTCCTTTTGAATTTTAAACCTATTCTCCACAGTACCGACTTTCTAGGGTGATGTGATTCTTCCTAAACTTTCTAGGCTGATGTGATCCTTGAATATAAGCCTGGTTTAGCTCTGCTGTCATTTTGTTAGTGATACATGAAATGATAGTGAGCCAGTACCTACAGAAGCCATTAGATGTGCTTCCAAGGTTCAGCCTGAACTCTTGTGGGATACAACCTTTCAGGTCCTTGTTTTTAGCCTTAACTGTACATGTAGCTGTTTATCACACTTGGAAATCAAAATATTGATGTTTCGAAAGCGTGCTTAGAAGAGATGGAAGCCATCGTTCTGTCTTTCCTATTCCCTCTCTTAATACATGGGTGTGTGAGTCTTGTGTGATGTGAAGTCTACGGTAGAGCTACGGAGCAGGAATGTGCAGCTCATCTGTTTCAGTCTTAGAATGATTTGTCTTGGTAAGACTTTATTTTCCACTTTTTCTTGATGCTGACAGTCGGATCAGGAGGAAGATGCAGACCTCAAGGCACAGGTAGAAATGGAAAAGTGAATGTGTACTCTAAGATGTGGTGGTCAAATCTCTCAGCATGCCATGTAGTTAGTTAGTCTGTTATTGATGCAGTATGTAGGATGATAGCATTCGTTCCCTTTGACTACCATGTCCCTTACCTTTCCCTTTCTTCTCCACTTTTTTCAGAATAGTCTGATTAAGCGAATAAAGGGTGAAAATGTGTATATCAAACATAGTAATCTAATGTTAGAGGTTGGTATTGGTATATACCAGTGCATGTATGTGTGTGGTGATTCTCAGTGATCGACCTGTGGACTCTCACTATGGTGCATGAAATGTGTTCTTCCACCTGCTAATAAACTGGGTGTACCTCTCCAGCTTCCTGTGACCTTCTTTATCCTGTATTAGAGATAGATGCCTTCTTTTTTTTTTTTACATGTGTGTGCATATGTTTGAATTCTCTTTGATTATTTGCAATCTAGCTCTTCACAATCTACCTTTTAGATATTTTGATTTTTATTTCATTTGAAGTAGATTTCTTCTGTCATTGCCTTTTAAAAATACCACATTTTCACCCATGTGTGTGTGGCAGTGTCATGAAACCTGATGCCTAAGAGTGCTACTTGAAAATTATTCTATACTAACCAGATTGTCATTTGAATGTTTATTTTTATTAACAGGCAGGCAGAAAAAAAGAATCAGGTGTAATGCATTGGGTTTTGGTTTCTTTTTCTTTGCTTTTTGCATATAGGAATTAGATAAAAATCAGGAAGAACTGATGAAACATCAGACCAACATTAGTGAGCTGAAAAGAACCTTTTTAGAGACCTCCACAGAAACTGCTGTGACTAATGAATGGGAAAAGAGACTTTCCACATCTCCAGTGCGGCTCGCTATGAGACAGGAGGATGCCCCAATGATTGAACCACTTGTGCCTGAAGAGGTCAGTGATTCATCTTCATGTTGGAAGTATCATCCTTTCATGCCTCCTTTGCTCCCACTCATTTGTTCTTCTGCAATGTGGAAAGAGATTTAAGTAGGGTCTGAGCATGGACTGATTGAGCTGATTTCACCTGCTGACTGTTGCATGAATTGAAAACAGCCTCACAAAAAGGCTTTTCAATATGGGATGCTTCCAGAGGATTAGCTAGCTCATTAATTCATATTTTGCTTTGGGACCAGATAGTATGTAGAGGGCAGAATAACAAAATAAAAGATAGTGTGTATTAAAAATTAGGCATAATAAAAGCTGGACAAACTATAAACTACCAAAGATGAGTAAGGACTTGAAGAAACCCTTTAAATTAAAAGGAGAAATGAATTAAAAGGAGAAATCCAGAAAATTACAGTGTGATATGATATACTAGTTTTCTTTCAGCATTTTTTTTTTGCTTCTTTTAGCTAAGGAAGTTCTCTCAAACTCTTGAGTCTTTTTCTTGAGTTGTTTCAGGGACAGGTGATGTGAGGTAAAATAAGAGGAAGCCAGTAGAAGGATCTGATGGCTTTCTGTGAGAAGATCATTAGATCATAGAGTTGAAAGAGACCTCAGAGGCCATCTAATCCAGCCACCTCATTTTCTAGATAAGGAAACTGAGGTCCATAGAAGTTGCTATTTGCTCAAAGTCACCTAAATATTAAGCATCAGAGGCAGGATTTGAACCAGGGTCCTTTCATTTGGGAGACAATAATTCTTTCTATTGGGCTTCTCTGCCTTCCTTAGATCCTTGATCTGGGATGCTGAAAAAGCTATGTGGTTTCAGTGATCTGCAGTTAATTGTTCTCCAGCCAGCATTCTATTGCAGACACATATTTCAGGTTGTACTGGGAAATCAGTCCAAAATTAGTTTTTGAAGGGAGAAGGAATATATTTTGTCTGTACAAAAAAAAAATAATAATTATCTTTCATCTCACAAGCCCCTCAGAGTACATAGGAAGGATTTTGGAATCCTTGAACGAATAATAACTTGCTTCTACATAGAAATTTAACATGCAATAAGTTGTTTCTTTGTTTATTTAGTCTCTTTACTCTTCCTGTATCTGTAAAAGGAAGGTTTTTACATTGATTTAATTTGTTTCTGATAATGACTGCTTTACTGTGAAGCAGGGCTCAGCTACAGGAAACAGAAAAGATCAGGAAAACTCTTAAGCTGTTTAAAACCATCTTCTAAAGAGTTTTTAACATGTAGTGTATTGATCCTTCCCGTAGAGTTTAGTACAGAATATTTGTAGTTCAGTAGATTCTCAATTGGGGCAGCTAGGTTGCCCAGTGGTTAGAGCTCTGGGCCTGGAGTCAGGAAAATTCATCTTTTGGAGTTCAAATATGGCCTCAGAGACTTACTAGCTAGTTGTGTGACCCAAGGCAAGTCTCTTAACCCTCTTTGCCTTGGTTTCCTCATCTGGAAAATGAACTGGAGAAGAAAATGGCAAATTACTCCAGTTTCTTTCCCAAGAACACTAAATAGGGGACATGACTGAAAACTACAATCCCAGATTCTCAATTTCTGTGTGTAGTCTTGGTTTAATAAGAGTGGCTGCAGTACCCAGTATCCCTCCATATAAAAGTTTTCATTCTTTCTGAAAAGTAAGAAACTTTGTCACTACTGCTCTTAATCTAAAAGGTCAATTATAGATTCATATTATAGAGAGTAAGCACACTGTAAACCTAGAGATGCTATAGAAATATGAGTTACCATTGTAGGATTATCAAAGCACCTGTCCTACTATATATACTCATTCTATTTTTTAAAAAAACCACTTGAGCCTCAAATAAGATTTTTTAAAAATTAACCTTCTTTTAAATTAACGTACTTTTGAATACAACTGGATTTGCATTATCAAGGTCATCACACATGTCAAACATAATCAAAGCTTTTCAGGCTCCCAAGGTCTTACCTCTGCCCCACAGCTATTGTTCTTTTAATATATTTTTTGTTCAACATAACCTGAGAGCCAGAGATTTCTTGGAAGAGCCAGTATTAAATTACCAAGAGCAATAATAGGTTCTGTGCTTGCTGATCTTTAAGCTCAAGGTGTGTATATCCTTCTGTTTCAGAGAGCTTAGGCTAGAATTAGGGGATTGAGTGGAAAGACTTTTGAAGTCTCTTCTTTTCCTTTTCTAATTTATTATTCTTTTTTAAAAAGCATGTGAAGGGCTATAATAGGCAGAAATTCTCTGAACCTACAAGGAAGAGGGTGAGAGAAAAATGGGTTTAAATTCTAAAGAGTTTCTAGACTGTAGTAATCCCACAGTACAAGAACAGGTTCTCAGGGGTGATTGTGGAATCTCCTGTCTGGATCTCTGAGAATTTCAAGGTTTGATCTCCTCTAATGATAAGAAATCAGAATGAACTCTTTAGAATTCTCCAATTATACAATTCTTTCAGGATAATGTGATAACAGTCAACTCTAGACCTAATGTGAGGATTTGACCCAACTGATGGCATCATAAACACATTAAAAGTTCATACATTAAAAATTCTTACCCATTTTCAACATAAAACTGCTTTTTATGTATCTTGCTCTTTGCATTTTAAAAAGCATGAGAGAATTTTGTACTCTGAAATATCAGAAAATAAAACGCATTGGTCTACAAGTTAATATCTAAACAGTTCATTTTTATGACAAAGCACGTTCAAATTGGGAATCAGGAGCATTAACACTCATATGGATTAATTTTGCTTACTTTTAAATTATAAAATCAAATCCCCTATTTAACTTTTAGATGATGGGATTTCTTTCCCCTTCCACACCATTCTAAAAGATACCAGCCAACAGAATGCCAACAAAATGCCAACAGAACTTGGCCTCAAGGACTGATTATGTCTCTTTGACTGTTCCCTTTGTTACAATCTCTGATAAGATGGCATTTCATAAAAACTGAAGAAAGGCTGCAGATTTTTAGTGTGACTTTTTTTTTTGCTTTATCTATTTGAACTGAATCTTAATGAACCCCAATTGTTTTACTAAACACTTCTGATTTATGAACAGTTGAAAAGGGGAAAGGAAATGGAAATCAATATCTATTTAAATAAATGAGCTAATAGGATTCAGTCCATTTTGCTAACATTTAACATTTGCATTTACTTGCTAATTTCATTGATTTAAATTTTATAAAGCCTAGTTTTACTTTACCAGCAGTATATCATGTAGTCAAGTTGTAAATATCTTTACTGATAGCAGAAAGGCAGCATGGATAATATAAGATAATCAGTAATATAGAAAATATATTTGTTTTAGAATGAAGTTAAATATACATACACAAAGAGGGCCAGCTCTTGAATAGGTAGAGTGATACCTATCACTTGTATATGGCATGATTTGAAGAGATTCTCAGCACAGGGACCTCTACCTATGTCTAAAATTTCATTAAAGATGTATTCCTTTTAGACTTCTTAAAATGGCAAGTCCTCTTAGAGAGTAATATACCCTAACCTATTATTAGATTAAACTTTCCTGGGGAATACTTTCAAACTTGAAGTCTAGCCGAGAAAGCAAACCTCTCTGGAACAAAATTCAGAATAGTTACCAGGTTAGGCAGAAGGACAGAATAGGGAGAAGAAGCGTGTTGAAAGAGGAGGTTGTGAAATAAAAACAAAAGGATTTGGGATAGAATTACTTTCCATTTTTCCTCAGGCTGGTTCTGCATATGTATCAATCAATCCTCTGGTATTTATTAAATGCCTGCTATGTGCCAGGAGCTGTGCTAGGCACTTGAGGGCACAAACAAAAAAAAAAAATTAAGCAGTCCTTACTGTCAAGAAACTTATATTGTCATTTATGCCATTATATTTAGTTTGAGAGGCCTCTCCTCTCAGCCCTCTTTTGGCTTGCCCATAACAGCAGATTTAGCTAGAATCTTCTCATGACCGGGAGACTTAATGTAGTTAATTCATTCCATTCTTGGATAATACAAGGTTGATTGTATTGTTCTGTCATGTGTCTCTGAATTTCTGTCTAGTTTATAGATGAGGACCTGGTCTTTTACAGACAGCCCTTAATCAAAGGGAGCAGTATGTCAGTTCACAAGAGCAGCTTGGTCCTTAGAAGTATTCCTAAATTCCAGTTCTTCTGAAGATTACTGACTAATTAATTCTCTGTTACAACTGCAAATCATGACTCCCAAATTATTGAGCTGGTTCTTAAAGCACTCAAAATAAGGCTGAAGGTATGAAGGGGTTTGATATAATCGAATAGGAATAGGCGTATGAGTGATTGACAGGATTGAAATATGCGCCTGAAAAACTGAAATGTCCTCCTCAGTGAAGCCTTTCCTGATCTCCTTTCCACCCCCAAACACACATGCTACCATTTGTAATGATTTTTAATCTCTTATATCTCCCATAGAGCTTTCTTTGCACATCTCTGGCATGCTTTTTGCACTGTAATTGTGTGTGCATGTATCATAAATTGCAGCAAAAGTTACAAACTTTAGTAACTTTTCGTAAGGGTAGGCATCATACCTTATCTAAATTTTATAACTCCTCTACTACCTAGCAGAATGCTCTGCACACAGGTGTTTAATAAATGTATGTTGAACTAAATTGACCATACTCAGAAGTCAGAATAAATGTTTGAGCTCATCTGCTTTATTTAAAAAAAAAAACAAGAAAAAAACAACAAGAAAAAACTGTCTGCATCTCTTCTACTCCCATTATCTTGGGTAGTTAATTTGATTATATTCAGAGTTCACATTTTAAAATCTAGACCATTTCCCTCTGACATACTACCTTTACATATATGTGTATATACACACACATAAAAACATATACATTTAGAATCATGAGTGGTCTATGCTGATATTACCTGATGGTAAATACCAGGATTTCCTGAGGACCAAGTTTACCTTCATTTTTAGCCATCATAGTCACTTCAGTGAGTGGAAAATGATGCTTTTAAAACTCCCTTTCAGTGCCTACCAGCATAATTGGGGGGGGAGGGGAGGTATTTAATTTTGACCTCTCCTCACTGTTTTATAATTTGTTAGAGACATTGATTGAAGAGATAACAAAACCCATATTAAATGTGGTTGCTTTTCATCCTTTTTAACATAAAATAATCCCCAAATAGAAAGACTAGAAATCTTCTTAGAAAATGTAATTATAAACTAGTTCATAAGATATTTTATTCCTTTTCTCTAAGATTACTATGTTTGAGCAATTACTGCCTGCTAGTCTTTGTCCAAGAAGTCTTTGAATTAGCATAAAACACAATTTTCACTGTATCATTAAAAGACCAAATAAGCTTTTAAATCTTTGTGGGAAAGTAAAGAGAGGAAGAGAGGTGTATATATATATCTTTATCTATAGATATCTATAGATATAGACATATAGAATTTTTCTTTTGTTAAAATTAATGACATAAAAACTGCCTCTCAGGATACAAATATTCTGTCTGGCAAGAAGTAAACTGGCTTAACAAGTAGAACTGAGGAAATTAATGCTTGTTAATTTGTAAGGATAGATTCCTTTACTTCGGGCATTTTTCTTTCTGTGCTAACTTAATGACTTTTCTGGTAACTACTTTTTGTAAAATTAATATCCAAATGCTATTTAAAGTGGCAGACAGTTGGTTGCACATTCACAAAAGTAGAAATGGGGGAAGGGAAAAGGCTTGAAGGTAAAAAGTCTATGTATTGACTGTTCCATCAAGGGAACCAGGAACAAAACCATTTACTTGGATATTATCAGCGAATTTCTTTTTATTTTCTCCTTGGTTCTTCTTCAGATAAATTTAGCACAATAAATAATCTGCTTCTGCTGGAAAAATGCATGAATACTAGATAAGCATTTATATTGCAAAATATAAGAATTCTCTTCCTAACTTTCCTTTTTTGGAAATTGTCTACTTCCCCCTCTCCAACCCAACCCCCTTTATTCAAACAGACCAAAGAAGAAAGAGAAATATCTGAAAAAATTATATTTTTGCAGCAGGGAAGTTCTTCATTCCTTGAGTCTCAGGTAAAAAACAAACATACAGGAATTTTCAAGATGGAATTGCTTTGGCACACATAAGTTTCATTAGAATTAGTCTTTAGTTTTCATTTTCCTTGCAGCAGTTACCATATTTTAAAATGAAGGTAGGTGTGCTATTTTCTGATTGGATCCTGGGGAGGGGGGGGAGTTAGGGTAGCCTCTCTAACTATTGCTATTAGCAGATGCCAATCTTTTCTTTCTTGATGCCTTCTGTCTTCAGGTGAGTATGTATCTGTGTTTTTGATGTACAAACCATGTATTTTTTCAGTCACTATCACTTTGAAACCTTTACCTTTTCCTATGACTGATGTACATTTCCTTTATGGGATTCCATTAACTCAGATGATCTTGACTGATAATGACAGTTCTGAATTCTTATTGGTTTTTCCATTAGCCAGCGGAATTAAAGAAGCTGCAAGAAAGAGATTCAGCTGGCACTATGGTTTCTTCTCATCAGATCATTTTGCAGAAAACGGTCCCATCAACCCTAGAGGTTATTTTTCAATTCCTTAAACCATTACCAATGTACAGATAAAGATGATTCATATGCATATACATACATACACACATTTATATTTTGATCAAATGCCTGGGTTCAGGTTTTGGCCTGTGGTAAATGTGAAATTAGATGCCATATTAATAGTATACTATTAATAGCATATAAAGTTCTTTAGCTGTCTCATCACATCCTGTTCGTCCTCTACTTTCATAGAGAGATTTATTGTAGAGAAGTTTGGCTTCTTCATAAAGTTGAGGAGAATGGATGAAAAACAAGCAAAATGGGGAAAAGTTGAAAGTCACACTGTCACTATTTATAAGAGATTTCAACCATGTTCAAAACAGAAAATATTTAATGATAGAACATCTCTGAGATGCAACTTGATTCCACAGAGGCAGAGAGATGTAACTAAGAATATGACATCTTTTTCTCCAAACTTTGTGGGATTTTGGCAGTTATTTAAAAGGAGCAGAAAAGAAAGCATTGAAACATTTTCTAGCATATTTTTAAAAATCCTTTGATTTTCTCATACTACTCTAAAAAGCACATATGAAAAGCTGTAAATAATGCAATGTGTTCATGTGCTGCCCTACTGCTTAGCACAAAAAGCATATCTGCCTTTAGTCATACTTAGCATTAGACTGGTGCCTCAAAGAGTGGCATGTTATTTACAGCTAATACTTTTTACCTGAAAGGAGTTTTTAACCCAAAGCTATCAGATGGCAACGTTGCCACCTGCCATTTTGTGGCACTCCAGAAGTGAGCATAGTTATGTGTCTTCAAAAAGCCCCTCTAGTTTTCTTAAAGGATTCTTACTTGAAAAACCAGAGAAACAGACATTCTAATTTAGCTTTTATATTTCAAATATAGGGCACAGAGGATTGGGTTATTGTAGACAAAATACCCACTGAGGTAGTTGATGGTGATTCAAAAAGAATTGTCACTTACAAAGTGGTGACTGTGAGCAGCAAAACTGGTGACCTTCCTGCTGACGTGTTAAAATCCAGCGCTATTGAAATGCAGAGTTTTGATGACTTAACACGGGAAATACAGTGGAAAGAAGAGAGCAAACAAAAAACATACACTTTAGGAAAATCTTATGATACCATCTCTGGAAAAATTGTGACCATGACAGGAAAAGCTAAAGAGGGTGAAAAGGCAGGGGAGCCCTCCACACTTGAAGCCCTTCAGAAATTTGAGAGAGGGATGACAGAATCCGTGAAAATCATCCCTGTAATGACAGAATATGAGGTCCTAGAAGCCATCTCAGATGACAAGGCCAGGAGAGGATCTGAGGTGCAGATCGTGAGAAGGAAATTGTCAGAATCTCTGGCTCCCATAAAGGAAGCAGAATCCCGGCTGCCAAGTCCAGATGAAGAATGTCTGAAGAAAACCCAGAAACTGGAAAAGGATTTGGAATTCCGTACTGGCCTAGGAAGTATACAGCCTACTGGAGTAGGACAAACACCAGACAGTGAGGCTTTAAAAGCAGGGTTCTTTGCTCGAAAAGAGAAAAGCCCATCTGAATGGAGATATTCCCGGGAGCCAGGATTCACCATTGCCACTGCTCATTATGTCAATGAGTCATCTGCATCCCGAGTGGTGGTAACCAGTGACTCTTATATGTCCTGTAATTTAAAGAATAAAGCATGGCTTTTTTTGGAGCCATACGCTTCTACCCTGAACCTTTCAGTTTCCTCTTGCTACTTGGCTTTATGTTGACAACAGCCAACCCAGCTTGTTTATTTTCTCATCGTTAAATAAGGACGGCAGTCCAGTGTAGACATTCAGCCTTGCACTTTTATTTCAAATTCCCTGTAACTGAAGTGTAATATCGCTGCTGTGGCTTGCAAAGAAAATGGGGAGAGAAAGGTCTGCTTAAACCAGCATCATCCCAATCCTAATAACTCTGCTTTTTAAAAGAAAAAAAAAAGCTTAGAGTCACTACAGATTTGTGCTGTTTTATTTCCCATTCTTTTCTGTTCCTGACCTCAGTCTCTCAGATTTCTTCCTTTCCTTCCTTTCTTCCTTCCTTCCTTTCCCTCTTGCCTATGGCTTTGTTAAAATAACGTGTATGAATGTGTGTGTGGGTGAATGTTCTGTCCTGTGTCTGACTTTACATTTCTTTGTTTACTCAGACTAAGTCTGCTGGTGAAAAGATCTTGGATGGCTCAGATATCTTCACTTTAATAGACTCTGCAAGAAAACCCACAGAGTTCATAGGAGGGGTTACTACTTCTTCACAAAAATGGGTTCAGGTGGCCATTTGCTTTCCTTTTTGGCTTTTCTGACTGTCCACGTTTATGTTTCTTGCTTTGTGTCCTTCCTGCAGTGTGGGTATCTATGTACATTCAGACTATGGCTTTGTGCACACCCGTGTGTAAATATATGAATGTATACTTATATGATTTTGCACGTATATGACTACATATATGCATACATGCATGTACATATGCGTGTCTATAGGTATATAGACATATACGGCTTATACATACATGTGTGTGTGTGTACATGTGTATGCAAGTCACTTTGTCCTAAAAAACACTCTCAGAATGTCTTAGGTTATTTTTCTAGCACGTGTTTATTATGCATATTATTATTATGTCTATTGTATGCCTTTCATTCATCTCTAATAAAGTAGGAAAAAAGTTCATAAAGCTTTCACACTGTGAATCTCTGCAGTGTTTATTTTTATTTTGTTTTACTTGGCTTAGCACCTGGCCCTAGAGTGTTGATATCAGTGTGGATATGCTGTAATATTTTTATTTTAATGTCTGTGTGGTTTTTTGTCTGTGCATTTTGTTCTTCTGTTGCACATATTCTGAAGTAATAACCTAGATTTCTGTTGGGGGCTAAAACAGATGTTGGAAGAGGGAAGGAAAAGTGATGGAGTTGGGGATGATTGATTTTTTTTTTATGCCTGTTTCCAGTGTTTAGACTTTAACATAAACATTAGGCAACTGGGTAAGCACCTTCTGTTTTCTCTTTTTGTTTCTGAAGAGGCATCCTGACATCCTAATCTTTTTCCCTGCAGAGAACAGAAACCAAGTTGGAGCCCAGTGAAATAGAGGAATCACACGAGCTTCACCAGCAGCTTAGTACAGAGAAGGTTGTTCAGCAGACGGTGGTGGTGGAAGAGAGACATGTGATGAATGTGCATGCAAGTGGGGATGGTTCTAACCTGGCTGGAACTCATTTGGATGCTGCAGCTCAAGCAGCATCTGCTGTGGCTTCTAATGTTGTCGGGAAGGCGGGTTCTGCTCTGACTGAGGGGGCTAAAGAGGAGAAGAGGGAGGAGGTGGAGCTGATAAAGCTGTAATCAAACAGGAAGAGATTGCCACTGCTTCTCATGAGCGAGAGGAGGAGCAGACTGCAAGATCCCTCATTTCGGAATCATTGGAATCAAAACCTCATTTTGAGGTAACTAGTGGTCCTTTCTATGCTAAAGGCAAACTAATCAATTCTGTCCTGAAATTGTCAAGAGAGTTCAAATAAGCACATAGAGTTCAGTTTGGTTCTCTCTCTTTTCAAAGTGCAGTTTGTTTCTCCTCATATTTCCTTCCTGCATGGCAGTTACGGGGCTCATTGCTGGTTTCCATCTTTGGCAACACTTATCATGATGTGGAAAGAACCCTGGACTCAGGATCGGGAGACCTGGGTTCTGGTCCTGCCCCAGTCACTTAACTGGCTCTGTAACTATGGAACAGTCACTTAACCACTCAAAGATGTTTCCACCTCTGTAAAATGGAGCCGGTGGTAATTGCCCTGCCTATCTCACAACAACAAGATGGTTGTGAGGAAGCCCTTTGTAACGTGCTGTGGAAAAGGCCGGTGTTATTAGTTGTCACCTAGAGAGTTCCAGGAGATAGGACATCTCACTCTTGTAATCCTTAAAATTGGCAATGGGGGATAGAAGGTTTGATCCACCAAAAAAAAAAATTTAGATGATTTGGTAGGTTTTTCTTTTCTCTTTTATACATTTATTTAAAAGAATCAAGAAGTCTAAGTCCCATATTTTGAATGCCAAAAATTGCAGTAAAAAACTATTCCTTCAACTTTGTCCTCCTAGAGAAGAACTCCTTTTGCGATTAATGAACTGGCTGTTGATTTCTTATGCTACTTCCAAAGGATTTTGTTATTAGTCTGTACAGTAGGAGTTTAGGATGGAAAAGAGAGGAAAAATCACTAGAAATTTTTTTCTCCAAAATTCTTTCACCTAGAACATTTTAACAAATGTAAAGAATGCCTTAGAATTCCAAGAGATTCTATTATCCCATATGTATGTGGGCCTCATGTTTTCCTTGCTCCCCATGTAATACAGCATACATATATTCCACACTAATATAATGCTTATATCATTAAAAAAAAGACACAGGGGAAAAAAATGTGTCTCTAAACTATAATAATCATTTTTCCTGTTTCCCATTGACACAGTCACCATCTGTGAAGACAGAAACCATCAGTTTTGGCAGTGTCTCCCCAGGGGGAATAAAACTGGAAATTTCAACTAAGGAAGTGCCAGTAGTTCATACAGAGACAAAAACCATAACATATGAATCATCACAGGTAAGACACATGGTAGAAGCCAAGACATTCTTACTTTAATTTAGTCTCACTGTGTTTTAGCCTGAATTTAAGATGAACTGTTTTTATGAATTTGATTTTCATTTAATGACAGCTGGAAAGCCCAAACCTCATTCTGTTATCTAATCAATAGATATTGGTAATTTTTTAAAAACTCTTATTAAATATAATTATTAAAGATCATTGAGCACATGGCTATAATAGCTAGATTTGCCTGTCCATTTGTAATTCAAGTAGGCCTTTGAACATAACACAGGCAGTGTGGTATAGGTTCTCACAAACAGGATGCAAGAATAGCAGCATTGAGCACTGAACTTGGAGTCATAGTATTTAAAAAAAAAACCCAAGAGAGACTATAGAAATTAGTACAACCACATTGTTTTATAGATGATGAAGCTGGCATGGAAAGGAAACCCCATTCTCACAGATGGGAAAGTAGTCATCTAGATTCTTGCTTAAAGACCTCCAAGGAAGGGAAACCCACTCCTGCTTGAGGGTAGTCCATTCCACTTTTGGCTGTCTCTAATTGTTAGGAATTTTTTCCTGAAATCAACCCTACACAGACCTCTTCACAACTTTCAACCATTGCTACTGGTTCTGACCTTTGAGGCCAGATAGAACAATTCTTCTTCCACGTGACAGCTTTTGAAATGCTTAAAGGTAGCTGTTATGTACTCCTTGAGTTTTCTCTTCTATAGACTAAAAATGCCCACTTCCTTCCATTGACCCTCATGTGACATGAACTCAGGACTGTTACCATCGTACTTCCTCCCCTTTGGAAAATCTCTAGTTTATTGATTTCAAATGAGTTATCCAGGGTCACACAGTTCATGCGTAGCACAGCCAGAATTTGAGCCCAGGTCTTCTTCCTGTGGAGCCAGTGTGTTTTCTATTACACCAGAGAATTGGAGTTCAGATCACAGGTGTGCCATTTGCCATCAGTATGACCTGAGTCAAGTTAGTTTCATCATCTATAAAATTGGGGTGTTGGACTAGATCAAAGGCTTTTAGTCTAGGGTCTGTGAACTTTCTTCAAAACATTTGATAATTAATATAATTGATTTCATTTGTAATCTTGTGTATTGATTCTGTTTAAAAACGTTGTTTAGTGAAGAGCTCTATAATAGGGTTAATTATCCTATGAAGTGGTCTGTAGGCTTTGCCTGACTGCCGAAGGGTCTGTTACACAAAAGAGATATAGTGCTCTTTGATTTTGGGATAGGGTGCACTTTCCTCAATATGTTTTGAGACTAAAGAAATAAAGCTCTGTTGTGTTAAGAAAATGGAGGAAAAGATAAGAATTTTCTTCTCAGCTCTCTCACTCTCTGGTTGTTTCTGAATATAGACAGGAGTGTTTATTTCAGCAGTGCAGATAAAATTGTTAAAAATATTTTTCATTAACTCAGGGTGTGTTTTTTCTCCCTTCCTCTTTGCGGGGTAGGTCGATTCCAGTGCTGATACTGAGCCAGGTGTATTGATGAGCGCACAAACGATCACATCAGAAACAACAAGTACTACAACCACCACACACATCACCAAAGTAAGTGAAAAACAAATTTCATTCCCCCTCCCCCCAAAGAAAGTCAAAACAAACAAATGAAAAACGCAGCTTTTTTGAGGATGGAACTTCAGTTCAGTGAATTTTTTAAAAAATCCCTCAATTTTTATACTCTTTTCTTGATAAGATGTATCACCACTTCTTGAATATTCATCAAGTGTCTCTTCTATGCTAGGAGACATAAAGCAGACACTATCCTTAGGGAATTTAGCACTTTGTTCCATTCCTTATATATTATAGATGTTCGTTAAATATTTGCTAGTCTTAAAGGCTTTCTCCATCTTATCCTCAATTCTAACCCTAAAATCTTTTCATTAATACTCTTTCATTTTTTAAAGAGCAAACTATGTAAAACTGTTCTCTCAGTATTTTCAGGTTTTGTTCTCCTCCTGCAAAAAATGAGTATTCTTTTTATGACTACATTTATGAAGTGTGCCTTTGTTCCTTTTAGACTGTGAAAGGAGGCATTTCAGAGACAAGAATTGAAAAGCGAATAGTCATCACAGGAGATGCAGACATTGACCATGACCAGGTAGCGTGTGTATGCTAGACAATACCTGGGCAGAGGACCAGAAAGAAACTTGATAGCCGTAATAGTTACAATACTATTTTTTCTGGCATGTTCTCTGAAAAAAAAAAGTATATTGATAAACTTTTCAAAGAATGATGGCATAATTCCTATCTAAGTCATTTTTCCTCATTTGTAAATTGTGTAAAGATCTCATGAATCTTCACCTGGCTACTGATCATGCATGTTCCACCTCCTTTTTGTTTTTGCCCTTCTGTGGTTTCCCGGGGATAGGCGCTGGCTCAGGCAATTAAAGAGGCCAAAGAGCAGCACCCTGACATGTCAGTGACCAAAGTAGTGGTACATAAAGAGACAGAGATCACACCAGAAGATGGAGAGGACTGACCCCAGGTAAGAGGCATAGATGACTGTCTTAGGCTCCGTCTAGGCTGGCATGTGGCACAGGGCACTTCCCTTTCATTCTTCACCTTAATGCACCTCTCTTTTCTTGTTTCTCTCACTGGCATTTCTAATGATGGATACCAAGAGTATGAAGGACTTATCATTCAGGGGTGCTGGTTTCCTTCGGATCTGTACATTCTTCATTTGCTTCTTCACAGTCTGAGGCATAGCCTTTACTGCCAGTTAAAGAATTAAGAAGAGAACAGCTTTGGCTCGGGTGATCTTGCTGGCCGTCCCACATTATCCTTGCTTTGATGTGCTCTTTTCATTGCCAAAATTTGAACTGTCAAAGTCATTTTTCTCTTATTGTGCCGCCTAATCAGAACAAAAGCCATTTTTTTTTCTGAAAGGTGCAATTTGTATGTTGTAAACTGTGGAAACAAAATGGTCCCATTTCTCTGTTCGATGGCAAAATTACCCGAATGTAGTTTTGGTTCTGGCCCAGGCTGTATCTTCATTTGTATCTGAAAGCCTGAGAGGTTTTTTGCAGTTTCGATGTCTTCTATCTCTTGAATTTTTCAGATTGGTTTGTGTGTGTATGTGTATGTTCTTGTATAGCATTGTGTCTCAGAATAAGGCAGCAATGCAGCCTTTTTGCAATGACTCCTCTTCAAAATGGCATGTCTGTCTAGCTCTTCTTTGGTGAGCACCATAACTAGACTGTGTCTTCTGTATGTGCACAGATTTGTCACGCGTACTAACCTGCTATGCAAGAGCCCTCAATGCCTTGCTTTGAATGCTGAATGCAACCGCTGAGCTGCTTGTAAAGTTTGTTTTGGATAATGGCCTCTGGACTTGGAAAAACATCTTATAAACATAAGTGTATATTTATGTTCTCTAGTATTGGTATAAGAAACATAGTGTGATGAGTGACATCTCCTTTAAAAAATTATTTTCCTGCTTTGCAAAAAAAAGAAATCTAAAGATCATTATATTCAGACTACTAATTTATTTTGGATGATGAAAACAGGCCTTCTGGAGTGAGTACAGCCACTTCAGTGGCATTGCATTAATTCTTTAAGAGAAAGCATTTCATCAGCAGTTATGTGTACTGGAATGGAGTGGTTATCTGTTGTCAGAGGAAGCATTTAAACTGAGAGACGTTTCTCTTGCAACCTCCATTGGAGTGAGTCACTCCAAAGACTTCAAATAAATAATTAACTCATCAAATCTCTTTCCTGCAGGAATAATTTAGCTTGCATATGAATCCAGTCATGCACACCATTAGGAACACCAGAGCCTATATGGAGTCCCCGTTCTAACCCGACTGACTGACTTGTATCTGTCCGTGGAAAATTTCAGTCCAGAAGAATTGATCTTGACTGTTAATAAAGACACTGGCAGAGAGATCTTCCCATAATAGAGCAATCCGATTCAGCATCAGTAAACCGATATTGCATGAAGCAACAATTAAATTGCAAAAGAGCAGCATTTCTAATTTTTACAAAATGTCTAAGTTTTCAGCTATACCTGCACGTTCATAACCAACAATATAAACAGTGATCTCATGTAACACATAAACAATTCATGCCTTTCACAGTTTATTATTAAAGTCTAAACAAAATGATAATTTGTTAGATGGCAAAACCTTTTTTGTTTACAAATTAAAGGAAAATTACTCTCCACTGCTAGAAGCTGTATAGGTACGGTGTATAATGTTTTATTACACGTTAGATGTGCCAATAACACAGTTTATTCAGTAAACAACTTGAATCTTGTTGTTGTTTCTTCTGGTTTTATTATTATTATTATTATTCCCCTATAAAATGATGAATGCCTAATCCTATGGAAATATTTAATGCTTACAAAATGTGCTTTGTATATCTGATTTAATACCTTACGAGGTAGTCATGATTTTAGTATTTCGACTTGATTTTCTTTCTGTTGTCTGCCTTGTTCTGCATTAAATCCAGAAAGCTTCCGTTTGCCCTTCACAGGTCCTGAATCTATAAATTGTCATTATTTTGGGGAAACTTGTACTTTCCTTATATTACAAGATTATTACTCTGTAATAACCGTATTGTTTTTTTAATTGATTTTTTTCCCTTATGTTATTTGAGAAAAAAAATGTTTCATTTCAAAACCTGGTCAACATTTATAATCTAGTTCAGAGCCAAGCCTTAAACTGTACAGAACTTCCACTGTAAACTATTGAGTGTTCAGTTATAAATATCCATTGAAGAGTTCTATCTCCATCACACTGTCAATTGCATCACAACACATAGTGAATGTATGTTTCTGCATAGTGAAATAAAAGTGGTAAATGCATTCAAAACTGTATCGTTCTATGTCTAAAATCTTAATATTGTATATGTTCATTACAAAGACAGGAACTGCATGACATCAAAGGCCTCATTCATTTACGTGATATAGGTGTCTTGTCTTTTAATGGAGCACACTGTAGCACTCGGACCATTTGAGATATTGTGGTGGGGGCAGGGAGAGGAGAGTGAAAATGGAATGGAAAGCATGAAAATACTCTTGTCATTGCAAGGTTTGTTAAAGGTGCTCTGCAAAAGCATGCTCACTCATTTTGTTTTTTGTGTAGTCTAACTGAAATTAAAAAAAAAATCTACCATGGAATCTCACTTTCCAATGCTGAGTGAAGAAAGTTATAGCAGCTCTAGAATAATTTTTTTGGGGAGAGTGTGAGGAGGCCCTCAGGAAAAGGAAGGGGTCTACTCTTTTCACTTTTCATCAGTTTCCTAACTAAACAAATGGAAGTGTGGTATATGTTCTGCACACAATGCATTCAATGTACTTCCACAGATTGTTCACTATTGTGTGACTGTAAGTGTGAGCCCTTCCTTAGTGCATCTGCTCCCATGCCAGTGGCTATTTAAACTAGTGCTGACCTCATGCCTTCACTTTCTGCTTTGCCCAGGGTTGAGAAATTTAAACTATCCTGCTCAAAGAGCAGGACACCTTTTGAAGAAAAGTTACATTAAGCCATATGTGTTAATTATGTGGAGGGATAAGATTTCTGTCACCCTCTTCCAGAGAACAAATACTATCAAGAGCTAATTATAATTAGCTGGCAGTCTGTGCAAATTTCCAGTCTCTTATGAATGCTATTGAGGAAATGAGTCATCATAAATGCAGTTGTGACCAATAGAAGATTCTAGTCTGGTAAATCAGCAGTGGACCTGTGGGAAATATCACATGACCTCTAAGGACTATCCGCATGAAGATCTGTCCCATCTGTGTTCATAAAGATGTTGCCATTCTTAAACCCCATTGTGGCATTCTTGTCTTCATTTGTTTCTGTACTTAGTAATAGCTGTATAGCTTTTATAACCAAAAAAGCCATTTAAGAAAATGTCTTTTCTCATTTTCTTTGGCTTATTTCCTCAAACTACTTGGTTGACAGTCTCTGAATTAGTGCATCCTTCATGAAAATTAATTTAAAAGACCAAAATCTATATTTAACTATTTATGTGACTTTTGTGTCATGTTCTTAGGCTTCAGTCAAAATATGTATAAGATAGGAAAGCATGCTTGTGTAATATTTTCAGAATAACAATACCTTTGTGATGCTTCTTCAATGTAAAGTTAGCAAGTTAGGGTGACCTATTTTTGTTTTGGTTCTTCCAAAAGCCTTCATCCAGATTAATTCTTCATATTTGGGGAGAAAATAATGGAAAAACATAGAAGTCATATTATGCTAATTCTTTCCAATTTTATTTTTTCTGCCATTAATGATACTTCCTGTGAGTTTTATATCTTCACAGAGAGGTTGGAAGCAATTTCTGTTGTGGAATTTGAACAATGTCTCAGGAAGAAAAACATATTTCTAGTTCTTACTTCTGCAAGGCACATAGAGTATTTTTTTTTAATACAAGTAAAAAAGTTCTTGAATCAGCCTCTAACAACTTGAATTTTTTTGTGTGAGATTTTTTTGCCATGGAGAGATGGCAAGGTCGGTCAGTGAGATTGCCATTTGTCAGGGTTGGTGTAAAGAGAATTTCTCTGTTTGTGAAGGATGGGTGAGGCAGTAAGACTTAGAAGATCTTCCATTACTCTGATGGTATGATTCGTGATTCCTTTCATCCAAGCTCCACCTTTAGCTTTTTAACTAGGAAGGTAACTATGTTAACAGTAAGTCTGAAATATAAATGCTGTAATTTAAGAAAAGGATCTTTCAGAGAGAAACCGTATTTGGTAGGTACGTTGTTAAGATGTAGAGTAGCCCTGGCAGCAATAAGCATAAAACAGCATTATATCCAGTTATGTTAAAGATCCAGGAGAACATTTGTCCTGTAACGATGACTACCTTTTAAAATGCTATTATTTATCACATACGAGGTAGAATACTTCTCTCTTTCCCCTTAGTCATGTCTTCCTCATGACCTGTTGAGGTCTTTCTCCATATTGATCCTCTCTAGAAACCTCCCATATGGTGTTTAGGCTTACTTACAACTGAAATCAGGCTTACAAGGAGCTGAGGTTTCTAAAGCTTGGACACAGCTGTTTAATAAAGCATTTTAACCAATAACTGCTGGGGTAGACGAGCATGTAAGTCAGGCTGCCAAGGTGGCCGTGACCATTGTCATCACCTAGTCTCGTAGATGGAGAATTCAGAGCTCAGAGATGACAAATTCTGATTGTCTTTTTTAATTGCTTGAGAACAGTTTCTCTTAAGTTTTAAGAGTCCCATTTTTGTGGGAGTTTAATGATATTTCTTAAAAATTATATTAAATTTGATTGGGGCAGGAGGGAAGGGGAAGGAATAGAGGAGAAACATAATAAGGTACATAGATCTTCATTTAGACTCCTCTTTTAAAAATTTGCAAACATGGTGAGAGAAATATATTATGGACTTTAGATAGATTTATCAGGAAGCAAAAGCACCAAAGAATATCTGAGAGAATTCTTTTTTGCCACCTTTAGATTGAGGTGGTCTTTCTACTCGTTTTACTCCCCCTTTATTCTTTTGCACTGTCAGACTGCACATCCTTGTTGACAACTCTTTTAAAATCAAACATGGTCATTACATTAGGTAGTAGAGAGAAGCCCCATCTCTAGGAAGGTTTGACTCCCAGCTCCATTATTCCTGCTAACTTGTGTAACTATTGACAAACTCCTTGAGCACACTAAACTGTTTCCTTTTCTATAAAATCAAGATAATAGTACTCACATAGACTATTTAGAGGTAATGCTAAAGAACACAGAAATGTAAAGTATCATTTTAAGTGTAGGTTTAGGAATAAGGATGGATCCTGTGACTTCATTTAGAGGGAGAGGAACAGGAAAAAGAAAAATAAATCTTTGAAATGTTCTATAATTGAGGAAAGGTTCTAGTGCCTGTCATTTACTACTAGCTATAGGTTATTGTCTGCAGATGTCTAGGATTTTGAATTTCTTCCTCAATGAGTTCCGCACCTGACTCACATTCTCTTTCTCCTTCCCACCTCCTCCCTTCATATTAGAGGACTGAAGCTCACATACTGATAGTTCCTCAAACACCCTAATCACTGAATTCCTCAATTTACTCATTTCTCATGACCTTCTCCTCCACCCCTCTGGATCTTTCCATCATTCTCCAATGTTCTATTTCCATGTTCATGAACTCTGAAATTTCCTTATCTGATCACCATCCGTTGTCTTTCCACCTCTCCCTCGGCCTCACAGCCACAAAATCTATTCTTTGTCCACATCCTGACCTCCAATCCCTCCACCCCTCACCTCTTTCCCAAACTGCAGCAGCTCTTCACAGAATTTTCATCCCTTCTTAAGTCTCCCTGGCTCTTCTATCTCCCGTCCGCTCAGCTGGGAGAATCTTATCTCGTACTTTACAGAAAAAATAAAAATAAAAAAACCAAGGTCATTTGCTGAGAATCTCCCCTCTATGTCACATTACTAAAATGTTACTTCCTCCTCCTTCACTTCTGTTTCACATGAAGAAGTGCCCCTTCTTGCCAAGGATCTCTACATGCACAAGTAATCCCATTCAGTTCAGTCGTCACCAGCAATTGCCCTTTCTCATTCCTACTCTCACTTATCTAGTCTCTCCATGTCTGCTAGCTGCTTCCCTGATGCCTACAAACATGCCCAGGTATCTCCCCGGCCTCAAAAAATCCTCATTTGATCCATTCATTCCTGCTAGCTAAACTAGAGAAGTCTGTCTACAATCAATACCTCTACTTTTCATCTTACTCCATTCTTCACTCTGCTCTGACCTCAACACACAACTGAAACTAGTCTCTCCAAAGTTATCAGTGAATGATCTCTTAATTGCCAAATCCAATGGCTTTTTCTCCTCATCCTTGATCTTTCTTCAGCCTTTGACAGTGTTAATCACCTTCTTTGATACTCTCTTTTCTCTTGGTTTTCATGACACTGTGCCCTCCTGATTCCCCATTACCTATCTGACTGCTTCTCAGTCTTTTTGGTGCATCTTTTATTGCTTGATCTTCATCGAGGTCATGCCTGCTAACCATGAGTGTCACCCAAAGCTCTGTCCTGGCCCTCTTCTCCCTCTATGCTATTTCATTTGGTATTTCACATCTCATCAGCTCCCATAATTTCAACTATCATCTCAGTGCAGATGATTCTGACTTATTTTGTCTAGCCCTACCTCTCCTGACCATTAGTCTCATCTCAAATTCCTTATTGGATATAAGAGGTCTATGTCCTCACAGACACACTAGATTCAACATGTTCAAAACTGACCAAATCTTTCCCTCTTCCTAATTTCCCTATTACTGTTGATACCACCACACTCCCAGCTCCCAATGCTCACAACCTAGGTATTGTCTTTGACTTCTTACCCCGCCCCCATATCCAATCAGTTGCAAAGTCCTGTGGTTTCTACATTTACATCTCTTACACAGCCCTTCTCTTCTTTGATATTTGAACCACTCTAGTGCAGGCCCTTACCTCATGTCTAGACTATTCCAGTAGCCTGCTGGTTGCTCTGCCTACACTCCAGTATGTTCTCCACTCAGCTGTCAAATTGATGTTCCTAAAGTACAGATCTGACCATGTCAGATCATGTCAATCACAACCCCACTCCCAACCCCTACCACTGAATCAATTAGAGTGCCTCTCTATTACCCTCAGGAACAAATATAAAATTATCTTGCTTGGCTTTTAAAGCTCTCCATAATGTGCATCCTTCCAACCTTGTCAGTCTTCTTACTCCTTACATTTAAGCACCCACACACATGTCCTCTGCAAGCCATTGACACTAACTTCCTTACTGTTTCTCAAGTCAGACACCCCATCCCCTGACTCCAGGCAATTTTAACTTATGTCCTCCATACTATTTCCCCCCCC